ATATAGAAGCTGGTGTCGATTGAACTGGTCCACCATCTTGTATATTTGAGATTCTTTGAGTTGGACTGCTTTCTCTAAGGAATCTTCTGTTTAAGTCACAGGAAGTAGTACCGGTAGGGGTAATATATTGTCCTGCTCTATCAGAACTGCAAATACGCCCCATCGCAAGTTGCTCAGCACAACTTAATGGTTTGGAAGTTATGACTTTTCTTTAGTTTTTGGAGTGGGTGGCTCTTGTTTCACAGAGAAATCAACACCACAACATTGATCACACTGTTCAACATTACGTGGTTTGTGTACCTTTTAATTTCCGGAAAAACTTTGTTACGACAAACAAAATCAACGTTTTTGTTGCTTTTTCTGGACAAACGCATACATCTTTTGATTTACTTTTACAAATTTTGACCTCAGCTGGTAATTTCGGTGAAGGCAATTTGGTACTTCTATCTGGAGATTTTTTGTCTTCCTGTGATTGAAGTTTTTCTTCAGGCGGTTTTAAGCATTTTGTACAACTACATTTTTCATTCTTCTTATCTTCTTTATTGCTTTTATCATCAGACTCCTTTGGGTTTTACTTGGTTTCCAATCTTTTACCAACCCATCTAAGAACTTCCTACACTTAGAACACCTACACAATTTCTTCAAAGGTTCCGGATCATCTTGTTTCTTCTCTTTTCGTTGCCTCTCATTTCCTTCTTCAATCGGATCCAATCTACGAACTGTTTTCAACTTGACCTGCACAGCTTGAGTATTATCAATTGACGCGATTCTTCTTACATGACGTTTGGAATTTGATGCCTTTTCAGTAGGTTTAAAGCTTTGAAGTGCTGTCGCACCAAACTCTTCTTTAGCCAACAATTCTTCATAACGAGGTATTTTCACCTCGGAATTAATATCTTCAGGTGGTACTTTTAGACCACTAGTAAGAATTACTGAAGAATCAGATTCCAGAGTATCTCCGGATAAGTTAGACCTCAAACTGGGAGAATCCAAATTGGAATTGTTCGAATCCAAATCATGCACTGAATCACCATGGCAAGAATGAAAAGAGCTACTTGTCGAGTCAGTAACATGCGGACAGCAAATTAATCTACTATTGGTACCCACGACTGTCCCCAAATTATTTGAAACAAGAGAAGTGATACCACTGGGTTGTACTTGAGGACTTATAGTACGTTCCAAAAAGTCTTTCTTGATTATAGCTCGTTTGACGCATTGATGATCAAACCGCACTGCTTTTGAAGCAGGTTGTGTTTTGCTGCAGCTTGGTTGAGTGCCAAACTCTTCAGACACCGCAGCACGTATATCCAAACATTGATTATAGATAACATACTTATTGGGGTTGATATTGACCTGAGGAACTTGACTTGCCAAACCTTTACAATTTAAAGAAGCTAATCTGCTCAGGGAACTACTTGTATGCGATGGTAGAGACGTTGAACTTCCATTGGAGTTTGTAGCTGATACGGATGGTGTGATATTGGTAATCTGAGTTGGTTTATCAGACATTTCGAGGTTTAATGAAGAACTGCATAATTTTAATCTAAATTAGCAGTAATATTGTGATTTTTGTGATTTTTAAAATTTTGAATGAAAAAATAAATAATTTTTAAGTAAAAAGAACTTGAATTTGACTTTGATTCGTGTATTATGACATTTTCAAATAAATAGTAGCTATATCAACCAAATTATGAAATTGTTTACATGTTTTACGTAAAATACACTGCGGAGATATTAAATACTAGCTTTAACCCTTGGCTTCGCTCGCGAATATCTAAAATAATGAAGTTGCTTCCGTACGCGTCTGTAGTCACAGAAGAAGTAACAATGAAGTAGAATGGCGGGAAGTTTAAAATGGCTGAAAGTATAGTCTATGGAAGTATAGTGTACAGTCTCCATAGTGTAGTCAATTGGATTTGATGTTGACGTAGCTGTCGGTAATACAGTGTGATAATACAGTGTGATGGTACTATAGTACTTAGGTTTGAGCTTCATTGCTGGAATGCTAGATGGCGTTAAAGTAGTCAAATAGCCAGATGCAGAGGTATTATTGGCTAAATAATTTCTTTATTTTATTTAAAAAATATTTTTTTTATTAAATAAAAAGTAGCCTATAACCATTCGGGGACCACTAAGAATATGTGTATAAATTTTCATGATGATCGGTTAAGTAGTTTTTGCGTGAAAGTGTAACAAACATCAGGACTTTCGCATTTATAGTATTAGTAGGGATCTATATTATCTACATGAAAGCAGCCTGACACGAAGCAAAACTGACTTTTTTCGAAATAAAACCACCATGAATGGAGAACATGAATATGATCGTTACCTTGAAATGACTGCTCTGTGCGAAACGATGTCACAAAACATTAATGCGCTGCCACAAACTACTCCCCGCGTTTTTGCGCAGGCTTTTTTAACAGCCCGGCGTCATTTTCTGCGATCGCTCTACTCCATCATTCTTGCAGCAAAATGGCAAAAAAACAGATTTAACTAGGTGCGCACAGTTCGGACATTCGCTTTTATTTATCTTCTTGTCCACGGACCGCACCGTCATTTATCTAACCGCAAGAAGACAGAATTAACAAACAGAGAATTCTGCCAAAAACAAATTCAAAAGGAAATAATAAATACGTTATAAACGTAAACAAGAACGGAAACGCGGCTGGGACGAGGAATCTACCGAATCAAAGCCGAGCATTCCTCGGACTTTTGTTAATTGTTAAATTAGCGACACATCGCAGCGCAGCAAAACCGGGGCACTCCAACAGGCGTCGAAATTCTGCGAAACGAGTTATATCGAACGCCGCCTCAGCAATACGAGCGTATTATTACGAGGCGCGCTGTTGTTAGCTGGGCACGAAGCGAGCGAAGCACTCAATAAAAAGCGAGCCAGGCATTCCGAGGAGCATAAATTCGAGTCGCACTGAATACAAGCGGGCAAGGCAGCGGCTTCACGAACAACGAAAAGAAAGAGCGTCGAGGCTCGTCGTCGTCATCGTCTACCTCTTGCTTCTTTCCAGTACCCATTTCACGCCTTATAATGAACGCATCGGCTGACTAATTATAGTCTACTCACGAGGCAATGCTAAATACACTTTTATTTGCTCCAAACGCCCGTGTGTACTTAGAAACTTTTCCTTTTCCTTCAACAAGCGGCGCGGCGCCGAGCATCACTCGAACGGCACAAAGCGCAAAGCACAAAATGAACACAATGCGCGTGCAAATAATGAAAAGAAGCGCGAACCAAGCGAAAAGAGAAGTAAACCAAAGCAAGTACACGTCGAGTATCATTCAGATTAATTAATTATCAAATAAAAGACGAAGAATGTAATGTAATGTCAAACGTCGACAACAAAGTATGCAAAACACGTTTTATAGCTAGTGTTGATATTAATGCTCGTTTGTAGCAAAATAAGGTGTTAAAATGCACGCCCGAGTTTAGATCGTATTCATGGCTTGGCATGGTCGATTGATTGTGAACGAAAGTTAATTCGTACGTGACTCCAACGGACTTGATCCGGTGAGTGGCGCGCTCGACATTACCTTTCAACCGTTCACTAATTGTGCTCGGGAACAAGTGAAACGTGTGTGCGAAAGAGATTAGCTCTCGTGACCGTAATTGCGCATAATATTCATTACGGAATGAAAAATTGCCGTGATTAACTAATGTTGGATGTGAAGCACGCCCACGAGTGTCAGTGTCGGAGAAATACGTTTTTAATGTGAAATCTGTGCGTCCAAGCGCGAATGATAATATCACGCCTAGTAAAATATGAAACGGAACTGAATGTTAACTCGATAATTTATTTGCATTGTGTAAATGTGCAAATATAAACATCGCTACTAATATTATAAATGCGAATGTCCTGATGTTTGTTACACTTTCACGCAAAAACTACTTAACCGATCATCATGAAAATTTGTACACATATTCTTAGTGGTCCCCGAATGGTTATAGGCTACTTTTTATTTAATAAAAAAAATTATTTTTAAATAAAATAAAGAAATTGTTTAGCCAATAATACCTCTGCATCTGGCTATTTGACTACTTTAACGCCATCTAGCATTCCAGCAATGAAGCTCAAACCTAAGTACTATAGTACCATCACACTGTATTATCACACTGTATTACCGACAGCTACGTCAACATCAAATCCAATTGACTACACTATGGAGACTGTACACTGTACTTCCATAGACTATACTTTCAGCCATTTTAAACTTCCCGCCATTCTACTTCATTGTTACTTCTTCTGTGACTACAGACGCGTACGGAAGCAACTTCATTATTTTAGATATTCGCGAGCGAAGCCGCGGGTTAAAGCTAGTATATAATAAAAATGAAAAAATCTCTCTCCAGCCGGTGGATTTTAATTTATGCGTGGCTGTCGAGGCTGAGGCTGCGTTCGTGCGGTATGTCAGCGTAATCAATTAGCCGCCGATGTGAATAATTAATTAAATGCGCAGCCGGAGGCCTTTCGACGCGCACATCTGCGTTTTTGCGCAGCGCACGCACTCGCTCTTCATTAAATTCATACATCATCTAATTTACATATGGAGCTGCTTCGAATTGTACGCTTCGCATTTAATTAAACGCAAAATCGTCACGCAGATCGATTCAAAGTAATAAACACGCGAGTGTCATCGTCGCTGAGTATTCAAACACAAAACCGGATCCTAGAATTTACTCACATGGATTGAATTAATAAATACGAACACAAGCATGTGTTGTGCGAGCTGATTGAACGCAACAAATCGAGATCGATTCGAAACATGTAATTGAGATGAAACTAGGCGTGTAATCGTTCTGTTTAAATCCGCACCACGTCAAAACATTTTAATTCCGCAAGGTACCGCAATTAAATTTTAATTTATGTCCAGCGAATGGCGATTTATTGAAATTGGCGCATTGTGGATTAGTATTAGATATTAATACTTATTGCGACACTGAGTTAATTGATTTTGACATAATATTTCAACCGATTTAATAAAATATAAGTTTTTTAATGTTTTATTGCTTAAAATGCATCGTCAATATTCACCCCGAAATAAAATATGAACGTGCTGCAAGCAATAAACATCGTCTGCGGTATACCAAACCCGTACGACCATCCGGCTTCCGGTCTAGGTACAATGACAGCCCACTGCAGCATGAACATCAAAACAGCCGCGAAAACCATAGAAAACGACAAAAGAAACCCGACGAAGAGAAAGAAGCGCAAGCACCAAATTGCAGTGCGCGTCATATACGCGGCATTCAGGTGCATTGACGGTAACTTCGCAATTACGTTGACAATAATAAACGCAGTTGTTGCACCGACACCCGGAAGAATAAACCATGCGTGATTGGAAAACTGCGTCGGGTACACGCAGAGAGCGTCCAAGAAGCACCACCATCCAATGGCAAATAAGGCACCTGAAACATACACCTCGATGGTTAATTTATAGCGGCTTTAAACAAAACAACACGAGAAAAAACACTAATCAAGTGCGGCAGGCAATTACAACTGCAACCGCGGGTTCACTTTGCAATTAACGATTGCTGCGCGCCGCGCGAAAGCAAAGAAACCAATTTGCACAGCTTTATGTGCGCAAGTTCTAAGTTCTAATTAGTCACAGTTAGCGTAAGAGTTGTACGATTACCGCTAATGCTGGCGTAGATGGCATTTAGTTTCTTTGGCGTGAGCTTGTCGGCGCACTCACAGCGGCAGCAATTATGATTGCGCATCCACATGATTTCTTCTGCCTTCCTTGAGAGGAGCTGTGAGTGCGTATATTGATTAATATTTGTGATGGTTGCACGTTAAAATGCAATTGTTGAGTGAATATTAAAAAATACGTTCATTTCAACATCGTGATGACATCTATCTGTCAAGTTGACATGAATAATATTTCGAATTCGAATTTTTATTCAAGAATAAGGTTTTATGATATGCAACCCGTAGAACATGATACAGATTGCCTTATGGAAAAAGTGCATGTGTGTACAAAACACGAGTTTACTTTACCGATCGAGAGGTTAAAAGTTCTCAATGCTAGTTTTAAGAAATATTTCTTTGCGTTCCTTTCCAACCTTAAATAAATTTATTTCTAATAGTAAGTACTACATAAAACAAGCTACAATTAAAAACTATATCTTAATGTTTTACTGCAGATTTGTTTCTGTCAAATTGTTCTCAAACAATGAGCCAACAAGCAGAAATCCAAGTTGAAGAGCCTATAAAAAAGCCAAAATATGATGGTAGAACAAAAAAACGTAAATGGGAAGAACGACGATCTGAAAACACTCAAGATTCTGATGTGAAACGTGAAAAACCTACAGAAGCTGTGGAAAGAATCAGAAGAAGAAAGTTTGCTCTTTTAATGGGATATTCTGGGTCTAATTACTATGGCATGCAAAGGTGAAGACACAATTAATCATCTATAAACTACAATACTTATGTTTTGTGTTCTAGAAATCCACAAACAGCTACAATAGAAGAAGAATTATTCACAGCTTTGTTAAAATCTGAACACATCAATGAAGAAAACTTCAATCAGGTCCAAACAATGCAGTTTCAAAGGGCTGCAAGAACTGACAAAGGTGTTTCAGCTGTCAGGCAAGTTTGTTCAATGAAATTACGTAAGTAAAACACAAAAAAACGATATAAATACTCAATTAATATAATTTTCAGGTGAAACTTTAGATATAGCTAAAATTAATGAACATCTACCTGAGACAATACGAATCTTTGGTGCTCGGCGTGTAACTAAAGGCTTCAACAGTAAATCACAATGTGATGCAAGGACCTACATGTATATGCTACCAACTGCAGCGTTTGCCGATCATGACGAGACTGTTTCGCAGGAAACTTATCGTTTAAATGACGAAAAACTAGCCAAAATAAACGAAATCCTAGCGTTGTTTGTCGGAACTAAAAACTACCATAACTACACGTGTAGAAAACGTTTCAATGACCCAAGCGCCGCGAGATTTATCATGTCTTTTGAATGTGATAAACCTTTTATTACACAGGGAATAGAATTTGCTGTTATGAGAGTAAAAGGCCAGAGTTTCATGATGCATCACATCAGAAAAATGGTCGGGATAACACTATCGTTAGTACGTGGTCACACTGACATGGAAACTTTTAAGAAATCCTTCACAAATGAGAAGGTGAATCTGCCAAAAGCGCCAGGTTTGGGTTTGGTGTTGGATTTTGTGCATTATACACGATATGATCAGCGATATGGTGCTGATCATGATAAACTATTGTGGGAGGAGGAGAATGCTGAGGTTGAGGCGTTCAGAGAGAAATATATTTATCCAACTATTGTTGATACAGAAGTAAAAGAGCTGTCAATGCTCACTTGGGTAAAAGTGTTGGATATTCACGGGTATGATTTGGACGAGGAGGAAAATAACGACGAGAAGGATGGGAATATTTCTGATTGATTTGTATTTATTAGGTGCGACGAGCAATAAACTTTGATACAAACTTTTGATTTGCATTAGAATTTTAAATCAACAAACTAATCACAAATATAGGCAACCAATTGAGCATTTTAGATCAAACATGAATAACTTTCCTATGAACATAATTATTATCAGGATCCTAATTAAGATTACAATTTATAATTATTATAAAACCAGATAAAAGATACATTACCAATCTGTACTATTAAACTCTTATCCCTGCTTGATGATGTAATCAATCAACTTGTCATCCTTCCACTTTCTGTTTGTTGTGATCTGCCGACGTTGATGGAAGCGTCAGCAAATAAAACAAAATATAATCAGTGAAATTCAATTTTCTACAATATTGTACAACATTTTCTATATTCTAGAAATTATTACATAAACAAGGTACATCTATTTTAAACTTTTAGATAGATATTTTTCTATTTATAACCTTCAATATTGCACAATATTTGAAACAGTTTTAAACTTTGTTTAATTTGTATCTTACCATATTCCAGATGGCAAATTTGGATATTCCATGCACAAAATTCTGCAATCGTAAGGAACACGGCGATTTCATCGTGGCTGCCTTAACCAAACGAGCTGTAAATGATATAGAATTATCAGCATTCCTCAACTACACTTGTGTACTCTGTGGTTCTTCAAAAGATGTTTATGGCAGGACATCTCTGCATATGGCTGCATCCTGTGGCAGGACAGATGTTTGCAAATGGTTGGTGTGTCAGAAACAGGCTAAAATAGATGAAAAAGATACTGAATCTGGATATACTGCACTACATAGAAGCATATTTTATGGAAAAATAGACACTGTAGTTGCACTAATCCAATTAGGTACATTATAAACTATTTTTATTAATAGTTATTAATAGATTTGTTATAATTTTGAATATTCCAGGTGGTAATCTCAAATTATTAGATTCTAATGACCTCACACCATTGGACCATGCAATGTTGGACAACCTATCACCTCTGGGAGATGTCTACTCTCCATTTATTTATGTCTGGGGTTCAAACACTAATTATACTTTAGGTCCAAATCAATCCAGGCATCATCCTGAAGCTTTTGACAGTTTTCATAAAACCTACCCACTTGTGGAACCAAAAGAAGTTTACCTTGAGAAGTTCCACACTTTGATTCTAAGTAAAAGTGGTGAAGTTTACTCTTTCGGACATGGACAAGGAGGAAGATTAGGCGTAGCAAGTGAAAAAACAATCCTGGAACCTACAGAAATTAAATTTACTACAAATAATAACGCCATATTGAAAATAATCTCTTGCGCTATAGGAAGAGATCACAGTTTATTCTTAACCGACTCAAATGAGGTGTGGTCATGTGGATCAAACACTCATCATGTATTAGGGATTCATCCACCTCCAGCGCAGTTATTAACACCTCGTCACATCACAAAACTCAAGACGAAGATTGAAGGTATAGCTTGTGGGAGGTATCACTCTGTCGCATGGAACCAGACCAGTATTTTTACATGGGGTTATAACGGTGGGCAACTTGGTCATGATTTGAACACCGAAACAAGTCAAATTGTTCCGAAAAGCGTCAACATTCACTCATCTCAAAACAGTAAGATAATCTCAGTGGCGGCGAGTGTTGGCGCGACAGCAATCGCCACAAATCGCGGAGATGTTTATATTCTACACGAATATCAATGCAGGATGATTGCGTCAAAAATCTTAGATATAATATCAGTTAGTATCTACGGTGGAAAAATAGCTGGACTTGAAGAGAAGCGAGAAGATTTACGAGTTTTAGCACTGACAAAAACCGGGAATATTTTGGTATGGCAGGAAACTGATCCGCAATTATGCAGATGTACGTTTTCTTTGAATAGATTATTAAAAGTGCGACAAGTATGCTTGAACGCATATGGTTTAGTTTTCATAACTGACGAGAGGGAAGTTTTTAATGGAAAATTCAAAGCACGTAAAAAGAAAACAATACAGACTGGAAAGAAACATTTTAATCACTTTTTGGAGCGTACTGCATGTGTAACAGTGCAGATTGAGAAGGTTCCTAGAATTTACGGTGCCAATAGTGTTGTATGCGATGCAGAAGGACATAATTTCGCTGCGATACACCTGAATACTTCCACTATGATAACTGTGATTCCAGAAATATGTCCGTCGACTATGTTTGAAGATTTCGCTAAAATGATTAATAACACAGGTGATGTTGAATCAGATGTGACTTTTAAAGTGGGAAGTCGAATATTTCCTGCACATAGATACATCCTGCGTGCTTCCAGTGATAAATTAAGCAAAATGGAGGCTGGTGGTGACCACGTGGTGATTACAAACGTCGAACCGGAAATCTTCCATGAAATTATACAATATGCTTATACAGGCACATGTAGTATGCTCAAAGAAGGACCAATACCACAAGAATTGGCAAAGTTTAATAAAACGAAGAAGAAAATCAACATAAAAAGCAATGAAAATAATTCTACACAAAAAAATAAAAGTGCTTATGAAGTTTATTCACAAGAAAAGAAGCAAACTAATGTAACAAAAACACAAAATGAAATAAACGACCCGTTGAGATTGTTACAGGAAGCAGCAAAGAAACTAGGCATCAATTCGCTGTACAAAGATCTAAATCTGTTTGAAATATCCGCGGGCAGCATAAAATTGAAAAACGACAAGTTTTGTAGACCCAGAATGTTGAAATACAATCGCGCAGATTTTCCTGAGTTGCATGACGTGCGTATCAAGGCAACCTGCGGAAGTTACGTCGAAGCACACAAGTGTATCCTAGCAGCGCGCAGTGAATTCTTCTCCAATATGTTTTCAATGCGTTGGTTGCAATCCTCCAATCAAAAAACAACGGAAATTGAACTGCCGTCTAACATCGATTGCATTCGACACTTAATAGATTATCTCTACACAGACCAAGTTGACTTAGAACAAGATGAAGCAGATCAAATCTTAAGTCTATTGATTTTAGCGGATCATATTTTACTGGATCGACTAGTTGAAGTTTGTGAATTCGCCGTGAGTAAACTAATAACAATCAAAAATGTTTTACGCTTGATGACAATTGCGGATATGTATAACTCCACGCAGTTGAAAGAAACCTGCATGGAGTACGCATGTTTGAATCTAGCGCTGTTGTTGGAAACGAGACATTTGGAGCAATTAGACGATGAACTGTTGAAGGATCTGACCAAGTTCTATGAGAACTGGAACGCGAAGATGCACCACCGCGTCATCACGCCGTACAGTGACGCAGTGTGCGATAAGATGATCGCGGCGGTGAGTGCAAAGTATCCGGTCAAAATGGACTTCAATGAAATTATCAGCGTGCAAAAGCAGAAGGCGCATCGCCGGCGGAATCGTACACATCGCACGAGCAGCACGAGTGTCAGCGTCAGCGATAGCTCAAATCTTCCATTGGAAGTATCACAGAATGATGAGGTGGACTTTGAACTGAGTAAAAGATTGCAGGAGCAGATGGAGATCGAAAGGAGTGTGCCTGTGAGAATCAAAGCGATATCACGGGCGCATGAGAGGATTAATGATGTGTTTGATGAGGATGATTTTGTTAATTTATCACTGGCGTCGGCGAAAGAGTTTCCTGATTTGAGTTCGTCCATTGGTAGTCCTCCAGTGGATAGGGGGAGTTATCAAAGGACTCCGAAACAAAAGGGGAAGATGACTAGATTGTCACAGAAAGAAAGAAAAAGGTTAACGTCGGAATCATCGCCTGTTATACAAGAAATTGAAGCAGGTAATTAGTTTTTAAAAGAATTTATGAATGTTTTATTGAATATTTTTAATATTTTGTGCGTTAGAGAGTCCAAAAAATCCCTGGAACATGAATTTTGAAACTTCTAGTCCTGTTAGTTCCCACATTGGAAGTATCATCACCGAAGAGAAGAAACAAAGAGAAAATCTTAGTAGAATTAAGAGTAAACTTTTAATTTACACACAGGTATATATTTTATTATTAAATATGAATTCTAATGCGATTTTTATTTAAAAATTTTAATTTAGATCGAAGATAAAGCTCTGGATGATTTGAAGAAATTCTACAACGTTGACAATGTATTCGACGAAGTCATAGAAATCTCCCGGGTGGATTGCGGGCAAATAGCGGCGCCCTTATGGATCCAGAAATAAATTACAAATATAAATTACCTCAATCAAGCTCAAACACAAATAGTTATACAACTAGTACTCCGAAATGTCGTTGACATGTCTCAAGTACACACCACACGCAACGGTCATTAGTTCATGTCGTGCTTGCCGAATTTGTGTCTATTATTTAGTAAGCACACTGAATAAATAAACAGCGCGAGCGGAAACCGAGCGATTTGCGTGCGGGCGCGCAGAAAACATATTTTGATGCCAGTCGGGCGAAAACAAACACCAAGGGAGGATTTGTGTTTGACTGATGATTAGTAGCGGTAAATGTTTGTGCATATTTGCATTGTATGCATGCAGTAAACAATTATGCGTTTGTTTTTGAGTTGGAAGTGAAGTGAGGGTGTTTGTGTGTTGATTTGGAGATGAAAATGGATTGTACAAATTTATTGTGATATATTTATTTGTATCTTGACATAATATAAATAATACAGAGAAAGAAAATGGTATGGGAGAGATTTTTAGATTTTTTTGGGAAGAATTCTTTGTTTAAAAGACAAAAAAGTATCAAAAAGTAACATGAAACATGAAAATCTTTAAAATATTTAGTTTTTACTGAGGTTATGTCATAATTTTCACGCTTTTGTATGTTTGTGTCACTGTTACATGAAAACCACTCAAGCAATTTTGATAAATTTTGGTTTGGAGATATTTTGGACCTTGGAGAATAACATAGGCTACTTTTTGTTGCTAAAATCTAACTTGAAGGGTGTGAAAAATAGTTTTGAAGTTTGTGCAACAAAAAAGATAAATGACGTCGACGCATGCGCAAAAATGTGATGAAAATGCCTATTAAAGATGGCCGCCGGTATTTATTATAATTTTAGCTTTAAAAAACGTTCAATTCTTTCAAAAAACAACTAAAAAACGAAAAATAAAAGCCCAACTCTTAAAAAATTAAAAGTTGCACAAACTTTTTCTAAGTTTAACACATTTTCTATTACTACTAAATCATATCATATGAAAAACTGCAGATCCCAAAGTTTTGAGCTAGTCTAAAACCCGCACTACTATAACTCTCTTATCGCTGATATAATGCTACCACAGTCGTCACGTCACTCTCACTCTCTTGTCGCCCCATCCCATCACACACACGATGTGCCTACTCTGCCTATCCAACACTCGTCACTCGCTTACGTCGCGTATCATCACCCAGCTCGCATCGCAAGAGAAAAAATGACCAAATCGGTATCAGTCCGCGACGCGCCGTGCCGAAAGTAGGTTATTCACGCGCTGCGCAGCGCTAAGCCCGTCCAGCCCGAAACGAGCGAAGATTCCGACTGGCCTCCGGCCGGTATAAGTAGACGCCGCCGCCGAGTTATCGCACTTCCGAAGCGATCTTATGCAACTCCGTCGTGGCTTGCGTTAGATGCCTGCCCAGCTCGCAACCTCATCGTGCCGTTTTGTTAAACTCAACGTGTTGGCCTAGTGGCAATGAATTGTATATATCGTGGGAGGAGCACGACTGAATTCTACTTGGCGTCGGTGTTGTACGATTCCATCGAGGATCTCAACCGAAGGTGAGTGAAGCAAATTTTCAAACTTACAACGACCGTTACAACCGTCAGCGTTGGCATCAGGTGTGCGTGTTGTTTACAAACATAACCTCCGCGTAACTTGACACAACGCCGAAACAAATGAATAACTTTTTATGTTTTCGCTGTAAAACGTTGTAAAACGTTGTAAAACATGATAAAATTAACTAAAATTTAATTATTTATTACATTTTCCATGACTTGTCAGTGGCATTGACTGTTTGTAGAGTCAATAATCGCATTCAAGGAAAATTAATTTAATAAAACGGAAGTGAAACATTTTAATTAGTCAAAATGTCATAAAACCCCAATGCCAACTTTCGCAATTAGTTAAATTCGCAAAAAACAAATCGTCTAATTTGAGGTCAAACGCAAATAAAATGCCACGCGCGATGCGCTTCAGAGAAAAAATATCATTTTATTTATTTTTACTCTAACTCCACGATTAATGTTTATAAATATTTATAAAGTCATTTCAGTTTGACAAATTACATGTCACGCTGTATCGGACGCACGTCGCTTTCTATGTCAAGTTTATTACACACATATTATTAATTTATTAAGTGCTTTTTATTGCGATTAACTTCATTTGCAGACCGAATAATAATAAAAAAAAAGAAAAACATAAAACTTCAATCAATAAATAATTTGTCGAAGATTAATTTAAATGAAATTAAATTCAATATTAACTTAAGATTGTTTGTTCTTCCATTAACAGTTTTTATTAACAATTACTTAGATATATATTTACTGCGCACTTGGGTTTTATTTTATAAGTTTATATTGCTCGTGTTATTATTAACTTTACGAGCCTCGATTGCACGACACATTTTTTCCCGTGCGAGTCATGTCAATACAATAATACGCATGCGAAGAGAAGAGTGATGGTTGTCTCTCGAGACTTCAGTAAACTGATTGTTTACTATTTTGAAGCAAATGTTGTGACTGACTAAACAGCAAACAAATAAGCATTAACATCAATAAATTAACAGCGAGTGATGAATGAACCGCTTGAGATTGAGTTATAGTGTGTTATAAATTATTATCGACAAAGTTAAGTTGATTTTTTTGCGCGTAAATTCAGTTCAATTAGTGAGGTTTCTGAAATTACTACTGAAATTGAAATAATATGCGTAATAATAGTTGTTGTCAGTATTTGTAGTGTTGTGTAAATAACGTTGTTGAATGCGTGTCTTGAATCGATCCTGTTATATCCGGATCGGGAATAAAATCTCTTTTGAAAGCAGTGAGAAGAATATTGTTTTACTATTGGAGCATACGGATCATGAGTTGCAATGTTCTATATTTATCTAAATCGTGTTTTATGCGGCGTATCTTCATTGGTTTCGGCTTGAATATTGTAAATTCATTCAGTTATTTATATTCATTACTAGCTGTTGCCCGCGACTTCGTTCCGGCAGTGTTTAATAAAAATGTAATTCGTTTTTACTCTCTTGTTCTAGACATACTCGTAGTAAGAGTCAATTCTATCAATAAGATTAGCAATTTTAATTTAAAGAAATTATGCATATAAAGTTTTGTCAATAATGCACTTCAGCGCGCCATCTCGAATTCAACTATTTAACTATAACTATGATTGAATCTCAATGTCAAATTTTATTCTATAGAAAAGAGCTGTTTTGAGGATTTTCCCGACAATTATTCGAATTTTTCTCACCTTTTAAACCTTCCCTAGACCTCCACGAATAATTCAAGACCAAGATAAGATAAATCCGTTCAGCCGTTCTCGAGTTTTAGCGAGACTAACGAACAGCAATTCATTTTTATATATATAGATTATATTCAATTCAATAGTTACTATATTAATAGTGAGTTGGTTTTGTAGCGAGATTATTGAGAAATATTAGAAAAATTAAAGATTAAAAATTCATTTCATTATGGATTATGGATTTGATTGAGAAATTAATAAAATTATCCAAAAAATAACTGAGAAATTGCGTTTGTAAGAAGTATCGTTATCATTACTAAAAAGGAACTGTTCCAGTACAGAATGACGAAGAAAAAACTAAAAAAATCCTTTTAGTTTGCGAGATATTGCTTAATTTCATTAAAAAAATACAAAAATTACTGAAAATTAAAGTCTGAATGTGTTTTTCATGTCAAAATTAACCACCTTCATCATTTCTAACGTTGACAAGCAGAATACACTCAAAAACAAATAGAATTTTTAAAAAACTGCGCGAAAATATTGCAAAAAACATAAAATTTCCGTCAAAAATCCCAAAATTTCTCTATTTCAACCTTAACAATGAAAATAAAGGCAATGAAACTCATTTAAACAAGAAAATTTGCTTACAAAATACAAATTTTTACATCTATGATCAATTCTAAGTTAAAATAACTCAAGCAACTTTTTAAAATATAAATTTTTATAAACAAATCAATAAATTGACAATTTCCAATGGTATTTTTGACCCGATAAAAGAATCCAGCATAAAATTACATAACACTTATATAAATGTGGTGCGCTGACGTACGTTGCGCTTTGTTTTGCTCACTGCACGCTAATTAAAAAATAAGCGCGTAATTAAAGCGCGTTTGCGCGCGCAACAAACAATGCAATAAATTAGATACGCGGCGATGTCTGTGCAAAGTGATCGCACCTAAAAAAAGTTCCACGACTTCCACACTTCACTCACAGTACGAGTATTACAATATTATATGTATTGCACTTTCATTGAACAATCGGTCGGTTTTACAATCGGTCATCTTCCGCTATGTAACGTTTATTTATAGTCGGCATGATCCGCAAAGGCAATAAATGAATTATTAACCTTTTTACCAATCAATAAATAATCTCATTCTTTTCTAGAGAAAATAATTTGTAGTTTAAGTTAAAGTATTTCTTAGAATTCATTCATCTAATAAATTTAATGAACCCCTATGATATCAACTCCGAAGTAACGAATAGACGAATTTTATTACATCATATCATCTATAAAAGCCACATTCATTCATGATTCTCTTGAATTACTTCAATGACAGCTCCCAGACGACATTTTATTAACATTTTATTACTCGTCTTATTTTTTATTGAAGCCTCTCTCAAGGTTTCATCCTGTTTTACGAGCGACCTTCCAGCTTCTATATACAATAATCCAAATCATCAATCAATGCATAATCTCTGTTGTTGTTTTCATCGCGTTTACGCTCAATTTCACGCAAATTAATTACAGTTGCCAATGGTGAAGTTTTTCGCCGAAACGTGTGACGCTTTCGGATATTATTCGGTCGCGACGCCGGAGAGGCGCCGAACGCAAATCGCACCAGTTCGAACCAACTCCAAAGCATGATTTCGGATTGGGATTCGTGTGTTGCATTCGACGTTTGTGAAATACGCATTGGAGCACTGGTTCATGGCTATTTTATTTCGACTTCGTTTTTTTCTCTCGCGCGAGCATAATAAAATGCTAAATTTAGCTCGAAATAAATAATATAATATGGCGATTGTAGTGAATATAATACATTGTAGTTAATTACTACAGTTTACTTGTTTATTGTCTTTTAATCAGCGCTGCACAGGATGCGCATTGATCACGCAACACTCCCGACACATTTTATTTAATAAAATGTCATAAAAGTGTTATTTATCAATAATTCGCTAATTATATTTTATTTAAAATCCTCATGCTCATAGCAACGAGTGTTTGTTATTTTCGCACGCAGACATTTTTTTATCAGCGGTGTAATTAGCGCTAGATTTAGAACTTAATGATCATCGATTACGATTTTTCACTCGCAACAAATTGGTCTGGCATTATATGTCAAGATACGAGTGTGACTCGGCGTTACTCACACGCCTCCCCGGCGATTACGACGTAGCGTAGATCGTAGTAAAAAGTGAACTTCAACCTTTCGAAATTACACAGTATTGGCTCAGGTTCTGCTCTGAATTCCGGCATTGTGTACGCGCCGATAACGATTGGCGCCTGCCAGACACCACACTAATCGCGAATGTGCACAAATAATATTAGATAATGAATAAATCGAGAATAAATAATATGAAATTTTCGAGCGATTGGGGCGAATGGGGAACGTGACTTCCGGTCAGTGCGCGCCTCGCAGCTGATGCGATGCAATCAAAAATTTAAACTTTTTGATTTGATTGACTACGCATTGGTCAAAGTCCTCTCTTTGCTTTGCTGATATCGAGGCGTCAATAAACGCCGATAAACGACCGAAATGTGCATTGATATTCTGTACAGATTTATCGAATTTTTAATTAGAAACGTAATTAGTTTAAATTTCTGGGAAACAGGCGCAGAAATTAAGAAAACACGTTGAATTTTATTTATAAACATCGAATAAAAGGTGAAGTCTTTAGAATTTTAGGTTTTTTTTGAAGAAAATCATTGATTTTTATGAGAAAATTCGCATTTTTAAGCGAAAAACTATAAAAGAATGATTGATTTTTAAGAATTAGAGCAATTTACTTAAATATTATACCAGATACTTGCAGTTATTTCGAAGAAAGCTGGAAAAACCTTTAGAATTTAACGTTTTTTGAAGCAAAATAACGATTTTTATGCTCAAATCTGCGTTTTTAGGCCAAAAACAACACAAAAATGCACAATTTTTAATAATTAACGTAATATACTTAAATATTTTTAAGATATCCTCAGTAGTAGACTGAAAACAACCTGAATTGAATAGATAAACATCGAAAAAAGAACTAAAACCATTAGAATTTTACGTTTTTTGTAGCAAAATACCGATTTTTATAAGTTTTTAAGCGAAAAACCTCAGAAAAATACACAATTTTTAATAATTGGCGCAATTTTCTTTAATATTTTACAAAACACTTGCAGTAATTTCGAAAATAACCTGAGGAATCCTTAAAATTTCCCGTTTTTTGAACCAAAACTTCAATTTTTATGCAAAAATTTTAATTTTAACGCAATTATCCTTAATTCCCCGCATAACTAAACAAAAATTCTTCTCTCTTCCAGCGGGGTTTCATCCCTAATCAAAGAAAAACACGCCGATGCCAACATTGTCCTGCCCTTCCGGGGCATCGCGCCCTTCCACCAGGTCGTCGCCAGCGAAGACCGACACTTCGCCATGGAGACGACGCTTCTCATACTGCAGAATGGTGGGGACCCCAACGTCCGATCTGACGAGGGGCTGACCCCGCTGCACATCGCCGCTGCCTGGGGCCGGCGCGACCTGGTACAACTCTTACTCCACTGTGGCGCCGACCCCGACCTGCAGGACAACAGCTACATGACACCCATCCACTACGCTCGCGAGCACGAGCACCACGACATTGTCGAGATGATTCGCACGTTCATCGACGGCGGGATCTCCGCCTACTTTGAACAGGGCAGAGGGAAAGATGCATGCGTTGTAACATTGGATAGAATCTTAATATCCAATGGGCAAGCGGTTGGAGAATATGAAGTGATCAAAACCGAACAAAAAGATGTGGTTAAACATAATCATCATCAAGAACCCATTGATTTGAAGGTGTTACCACAAACGAATCCTAATGAATATGTCAGGGATTGGTGTAATACTCTCGTTGACCAGTTGGAGAATCTATCTCTATCACCCTCGGATAATTCGGAGAATTCTATCATGGAGAGGACTTTTGCTAATGTGACCATGGTTCGACCAGTGAATCGACCAGTGTCATCGTTTTATTCATCCAGCGATAATAGTCACCATGACAACAATATTAACTTGACCACAAACACAGAATTATTAGATTCGTACAAGTCCAGAGAAAGTGGAGTGCATACACTGCCCAATTCTATGTTGGATGATTATGAGCAACCTGTGTCACATCAGTCTAAACCTCCACCTCAAAGGAAATCATCCAAAGACACTTCGAGTGATTATTTTACTTGTACTGATGTTTCGGAGATTCTGGATGATGTCCATAACAATGGTTTTGTTTTTGGTGATTCTGACATAAGTTTTGTTAGTGTTTCCGAAGTCTATAAGTATGTGGACGCTGAAGAAGGTGTTTGCTTGTATGAAAAACGAGTTTTACCTGTTGTTATGCCGTAAGTTGATAAAATTTTCTTATAATTCCATAGTTTTAATGTTTATGTATCGAATAGGAACTTGAACGAGACGGAAAACTTTACTGTGAGTTCAAAATCATCAAAAGTATCCAGTTTACCAGTCAGTTTTGATTATGACACTGATACACTTAGGAAAGAACTGACAAGGGTTGGTTTTGAGCCGGGGCCGATCACCAAAACAACAAAACGTGTTTATCTAAAGAAATTACATCATTTACAGAAGTTTCCACAGGATGTTGTTGTTTCTACAGTGCAAGACATCAAAAAAGGTAAAAATTTTAAAGAATTTTAATTTTTTTTTACTAATTTTTTTTGTTTTTTACTGATAGTTTACTCGAATGAGATCCAGAAGACTTTGAAACACCCCGAATGGTCATCAGATTTAACCCCCTACCGACTCCTAGAAGAACAAGTAGTGAGGCAATTCTCAAACCCAGATCCAACGCGGAAATGGCGCGAAGGAGTGAGCAAAGCTTCCTTTACTTATCTCCTGCTGGATCCGCGTATTACACAAAATTTACCTGGACGAGCGGATGGGTTATCACAGGGTGAACTTTGGGAGGTTTTTCTTTCTTCTATCTTCTACGTTGGTAAAGGAAAACGCTCCAGACCTTATCAACACCTCTACGATGCAATAAACTTACATAAAGACGGAGTTAAACAAACGACTAACAAGAAATTACAACGTATTCTTGATATTTGGAAAGATAACCAAGGTGTGATTTGCTTACACATTTTTCAAAATGTCATCCCTGTTGAGGCGTACACTCGTGAGGCAGCCATGATTTCCGCGTTGAAACTCACAAACGTTGAGAATTTACGCACTGGAGACTTTTATGGAATCTCAGCGACGTGGAGCAGCAATCAGAAGGCAATGTTTGGTGTTTATTTGCTGTTCAAAGCGATGAAGATTTTATTAAACGAAGGCGAACGACAGTTGAGCCCGAATGATATTGATTAGTTGATTAGATTTTTAAGATTTGACGATGATGTGTGTTTTGATTGAATTATTTATTTCACGCGTGAATTGCAAGTGGTATGACTCAGAATTGTGATATGATCGTGCGCGTAGATGTTTAATTACAACAAGTATTTGATGACACTCGATGAGATTTTGATCGTTTGTTCCGAGAACGTTAACAATAAGTGCAATTACACTTTTATCAGATTTTTGTATTACAGACACAAATATTATTCAAATATTTTATATTTTCTAAGACTTATATAATTGAAATTATAGTGTTTAGGACGATTTTCGACGAATTTTATTTTTAAAATGATGTTTTTAATGAAATATGTGGAAATATATATTATGTGTTCAAATAAAACTGTTTTTACTTTAATTTATTTCCAGAAAATGAATTTTATCACCATTATCCTAAAAATTAAAAGAAAAAACAATTAATTTCAATTTTTAAGTTTTAATTACTTGACCTATGCATGAATATGGCACGTGGTTTTGTTTATAAGTAAATTAGCGAAGTGAAAAAAGACTAATGTCCATTTAGTCAATGTGATTATTGTTTGCTGACCCAAATTGATAATTGTTTGGATCCGCCATTGATTCAATTTGCGCATTGCGAAATCAATTTCTTGATCATTGTGCGGGCGCATGTTGTGGCGGCCATTCACAATTAAATTAATTAGTGAAAAGCTAATCAAGTTGGAAAAAATATGCAAATGAGGGCAATGGCTTCGGTTTAAAGCGCAGATTTTATCGTTTATTGTGTAATTTATTATAATAAGCTCGTAAATCACTTCATTTTGGCTATAAATGGACAGTAAAAAATTTTTTGATAGCGTTTGTTTGTTATTCGTATCAGTGGCTCCTCACTAATGATTGTAAATAGTTGTTTGTAAACAAGGCTTTAGTAAAAATGGACTTATGTTGTTATTAACTAGTTTATACTCGCGGATTTGCTCGTGTTGATAATTTTTTTGGCTGTATTTAAAAATTTTATATTCAAATTAATCCAAATTTTGAAAAACACAGGCAAAAGACATTTATATTTTTCGTTGCACAAATTTGCAAACTATTTTACACACCTTTCAAGTTATATTTTAGCAACAAAAAGTAGCCCATTATACTTTCCTGGGTCCCAAATATCTCCAAACCAAAATTTATTGAAATTGATTGAGTAGTTTTTGCGTAACAGCGTGACAAACAAACATACAAATAAAATAAAATTAAATTCACCAAATTTGCTAGTTATTTCGTGTTTTGCTAGTTAATAAATTAGATTTAAACTTAAAAAAAAAAGCAAAAAATGTGAATATATTTTTCATGATTCTGAATTCATGCAAAAATAGCAATAAATTGAGTTTAACATTGATAGCATGACTAATTTGAACTGTGATTGGTAGATTAGTTATTAATGATGATATTATTCAAACCAATTGCCGCGTTATCATCACAAATACAAATGAACCCGATCTATCCACATATCAAACTTGTTACCATTCTGCAACTTTTCACTACTACTTCTCTTTTCAATTTATACAACTCGTTCAAAACCGTAATAATTACGGCAATAACCTGACTACTTTTTATAATTTAAACATCAACCATTAATAATTTAATCATTAATTAATCGATTTAACAGTTTCTTCAGGTTTTACTGAATTAATAAACCGTAAATTAAACTTAACTCAACTTAACTTAAGTCAAGTGAACCTGAACTTTATTTTTTATTCCTACGTTTAACTTGCAACTAAAATAAAACTAAATGTTAAGCCGTCGCAGAGTCAACCAGCACGCAGGGGATTTGATTTGATAATCCCAACGAGTATAAAGTTGATTTGTATTCATGCGGCAATTCAGTCAGGCAGAGTCTATCGGCATCGGCGTGCATACTGCACATCTGCGTTTCGTGTTATTGGTGATAGACGAGTATAATACGTGTGATACCGATACGTAAATGAACAAATAAGTATAGTGTATAATTGTACAGTGTAATTGTCCATGAACAACACGCTTTGATAATACATATCATACATGGTAAGAGTTCAAAGTTTCACATACAGAAAATTGAATAAAATAAAACAATAAACATAAAACTGTATTGTTTGTTTAGAAAATGTTGTTTTTAACAATATGCTTAACGTTCCTGCTCTTCGGCGTGTCGAATACGTTGGATAATGGACTTGCGGATGCTCCGCCAATGGGATGGATGCATTGGCAACGGTTTCGATGCGTGATTGATTGTGAAACATACCCAGATGAATGTGTCAGGTATTTATTTATTTATTTATTTGATTACTAGCTGTTGCCCGCGACTTCGTTCCGGCAGTGTTTAATAAAAATGTAATTTGTTTTATACTCTCTTGTTCTAGACACATACTCGTAGTAAGAGTCAATTCTATCAATAAGATTAGCAATTTTAATTTAAACAAATTATGCATATAAAGTTTTGTCAATAATGCACTTCAGCGCGCCATCTCGAATTCAACTATTTAACTATAACTATGATTGAATCTCAATGTCAAATTTTATTCTATAGAAAAGAGCTGTTTTGAGGATTTTCCCGGCAATTATTCGAATTTTTCTCACCTTTTAAACCTTCCCTAGACCTCCACGAATAATTCAAGACCAAGATAAGATAAATCCGTTCAGCCGTTCTCGAGTTTTAGCGAGACTAACATTGAGTATTACTCAATTTGTATTTATTTTTTTGTTACTTATTCCAGTGAGCAATTGTTTCGCAACATGGCGGACCTGATGGTATCCGAAGGATACCTCGAAGCTGGCTATGAATACATCATTGTTGATGATTGCTGGGCATCGAAGAAACGCGCTTTGAATGGCAGTTTAGTTGCTGATCCAGTGAGATTTCCAAATGGCATCAAAGCGTTAGCTGATTACGTAAATTAACATTTAACTATTTACATGTTGTGTACTTGTACTCGTATTGATATATTATTAATTTATGTGTTTTGATTTAGGTGCATTCAAAAGGACTTAAATTTGGTTTGTATGGCGATTATGGTAATTTAACTTGCGCGGGATATCCAGGCAGTATTGATCATATGGAACTGGATGTAAACACGTTTGCTGCATGGGGTGTAGATTATATTAAATTGGATGGATGTTATGCTGATCAGGAAACTATGGAGCAAGGTAAGTAATAAATGAAATTTTGTGACAACAAACGCAAAAAACGAAGGAAGAAGAATATAGAAAGTTGTTACTGAACTGCTGGACGACTTAGGCTATACGCGTAGCGCGTTGCCTATTAAACTTCCACTAAACCCGCAAAAAGTGGTGGGGGAAGCAGCAACTGCATGTATTCTCCTACTCATCGCCACTTGTGTCACCACGGGTCCTAATACATAATATAATTTTCCTAAAACCTTAATTTGAACTAAAATTGCTTAAATATATGAGTAATTAATTTAAATATTAAAGGTTACGCTGAATACGGACGTTACATGAATGAAACAGGACGACCAATGGTATACTCCTGCAGTTGGCCAGCATACCAAGAACCCTTCAACATTAAAGTAACTATTTTACTACATTTAAAAAAATACTACAAATTTTCCTCCGTAGCCCAATTATCATGCCCTAAGAAAAACCTGTAACCTTTGGCGTAATTGGGACGACATTGACGACTCCTGGGAGAGCGTATCATCAATCGTCACTTGGTTTGTCAAGAACCAAGATAGAATCGCACCATTCTCCGGACCAGGACATTGGAATGATCCAGACATGGTAAATAACCTAACCTCACATAACCTAAACGTAAAAAACATTTTTAGTTAATCATTGGTAATTATGGCTTGACTGTACCACAAGCAAAAGCACAAATGACAATCTGGTCCATAATGAGTGCCCCTCTTATTATGTCGAATGATTTACGTGCCATCGACGAAGAATACAAGAAAATCTTACTTAATCGTGATGCGATAGCCATCAATCAAGATTACCTTGGAAAAATAGGCAAACAAGTTTTAGTTGTAAGTATATAACATGTGTATATTTGGTTGCCTACCTCAAACTACCAATGCAACAATTTAATATTTTTATTTGTGAATATTTTATAGAAAAAAAAAGTTGCTGTGTGGACAAAAGTGATAATGCCTAACATCAGTGGGCATCCATCATACGCCGTTGGAATTGTAAGCAATCGCACTGATGGATTCGCCTACAAAGTCGATTTTCCACTGAAAGATCTAAATTTAGACGCTCCACATGGCTACTTTGTTCAGGTAAGCCCCGCATTATCCATATCTATATTTATTTGCACTTGAACTTTGCTTCCGACTCGGTGTTTTGTCCCAATTGAAAGTTGACGAATTGAAAATGAAAATGACTGCACGTTTAGCCATTTAAATAGTTAGTGCGCTGTTTGTGTTGAATAATAACTACGAATGTGAATAGAATAAGCGGCATAAATATTCGAATTGTCTGGCTGCTTGCTATTAACTATGATTTTATGATTGGTGACTTCTGCATTAACATTTCAAGTGTTTGTGGAGGCAAAGTGTTGGCAAACTTTGGCGCTTTCTTTTCCGATCGGCAAACACACCGAGGAACTTTCTAACTAATTGCTAAACACAATGTTTAAATTCAATGCCTACACAATTATGTCGATAGGTATTTTTATTATTACGATTATTATGGATGCGGAGAGTATAAATGATTAACTTCAATCATTCAATCGTCGATTGAATTTTTATGTTAAGTTTTTACTGGGTGGATAGACGAGTATAATGTGGTGAGACGTGGAGCTTCCAACAAGAATGACGAGAAGCGAAGAATTCGAATAAATAATCGGTGAAAGTTTTAAAGTTTAAGATTATACTCAGTTGATATTACGAGAGGTTGTCTTCGGAATATTTTGATAGTTATAAAACAAGTGGATTTTTAAATTTTCCTATATTATATCACAAAATATCACAGAAAAAATTACCAATTGGTTTTTATTAATTTTCTCTGTGTAACAACGAAAAATATTTTTATTTCTTGCAATTATGAGTTAGAATTTTTTTTCAAAGACATGACATCGATGGTAACATTTGAAATATTGTTGTAATTATGATCCCAACATCCCTACAAATTGCAATGCAAATTTTATAACTTAAGCACGATTTTTCAGCTAATTTGTTGAGGTGCACAAGCAGTTACTACAAAATTATTTAAACATAACACAAGTGAATACAACTGAGCGACGCGGAATTCATATTTAGACTTCAGGAAATATTTACTGGCATTTTTACAAGAGTAATTGAGTTTATAACCAGCTTACAAAAGATTAAACAGATGCCTATCCACGTAAAATCTCAATATTTTGCTATTTTTTGTTCTTTACAATTAAATTTATTTTTTTGTTTGCAGAATGTTTTTGAAGACCAAGCAGACTTTGACATTCCATCAAACGGATCAATTTCCATGCGAATTATACCCACAGGTAAGTTTTTCTTGATTAATTATAATTTTCTTCATAATTTTTAACCAAAAATTCAATTTTCTCATTTTATATTCGACCTTAATTGAAACCTCAATACAATCAATACAATTTTTCACTCCCTGATAAGAACTACTGCGTCTCGCAGTATAAGAATGATTCATACTATTTTTACACTCTATTAATAAACCAATCTTAATTAACAACTTGTTTATTCAATAATAACAATGGTAAACAAAGAAAACAAACAATTACATCAAAAAAATCGGATGATACAAACCATTAAACTTTTTATTAAATTAATTTAGTATTTATCTTTTGCTTGGGTGAAAATTTCCATATTTATATATTTATCTTCGCACATTTTCACATTCCGTCCATGCGCAGTACGTGATAAACGTCGCACGTAATTGTTTACTGGCATTGCGTCAGTCGCGGGCCCGCCGCGTAAAAAAGAAGACGAAACCGACGAAAAAGTGAAATTGATTATTACCAGCCGCGCCGAAGATGCGAACCGTGAACTTGCGTTAGAACAACTTTCGTGCGTACTTTCCAATTTCACTTTCTACTATGAATCGCTGGATCGACAGCGGTGGCGCACAACGATCAACACAATAATAAAACAATGTTTTAAACCGTAAATATTACATTTTTTACTTAAAAAACACAAAATTTTATTCTTTTACTTCTATTTTAATTAATAATTTAATTATTGGTATCTATTCATGCTAATTAAATGCAATTATCGTTGATACACGTAATTAATACGCTGCTGACTCAAGAATCTAAGATTAATTGCAAACAAATTGGAATTTTACTGCGGTATATGAAAGAACCTTGATTATGTTGCAATTTTGCTATTAAGGTGCGTTGACATTAGACTAATCAACGGTAATTAATAAATTAATAGTGAGAAATCACTTTTTTATCATTTTTTTTATTTCTAGGTGGAGTATTATTAAAATTGACACCCAGGTATGTTTAATATTTAAATATTTTTATACTTTAATGTTTAATGTTTAAAAATTCATATTTTTACACTTTCAACGCATCTCTGTGCTTACAAAGTATTTTTTAATAAGTGTTAATTATATTTACATAATCGTGCTTGAACTTTTCATTAACGCATAATGTAATTATTATAATTACTGTAGTAATTCATATTTATTATGTGGCTGCCAATCATGACCATTCTCAATGTTCACAAGCTCACAACACACTCGTAACTTATTGTTTCAATGTTCAATCGATGATAATAATAATAATATTATTAATAGATATTTATTCATTTGTAACTAATTTTTATTTTATTTGTAATCAAATAAACATTTTTCTATCGGTTTTTAAGTTTACTTGAATTTTATAAGTTAAATATTTATTTTCAGGATGAAATATTCCGAGATTCAAATTATTCAAAGTGAAATAACTGTGGATAAGATTTAAGATGTTGTAAGTATGTGTGGCGTTGAAAGTTGATAATAGTGTGTCTGTCAATAAATGTAAATGCAAGTTACAAAATTGAATTCTTCACTCACTGTACACTTTACAACCTGTTTCTCGAGACGTACGCGCTTAACGAAAAAGAAACTAAGTCTAAACTTTGGTATTTGTGTCAAGTACATCTTTATACAGTGAGTTTTATAATTTTTAATACAAATTATAATTATACGTTCAGATTTTTCAAAGAATTTAAATTCAAATTCATGCAAAATATCGTTAAATACAGTTATAAATTTAATTCTTAATCGAAATCGTTTTTTGTTAAATAAATAATTAAATTTCGCTATAGCAAGATGTATTTATATTGAGGAATAGAAAAGTAAACAAATATCGGGATTTTGTATTGTAAGGTGACCCATGGCTGTAATATCACCACTATCACAACCTGATTTGTCAACTGCAACAGTTAAAAACACTATGAGAATATACCTGCGTTCAGTGCAATAAAGTAATTCGCTGTGCGAGTTTGCATTTTGATTGTGTATTAAATTAATTGTTTTCCACTGCTGTTACAATGTAATGTAAGTATTATTTTCTTTATTTGATTCTCTTTGTTCATTAGAAGGTGAAGTACTGTATTACTTTTATGTTTACTTTCGTAACGTTACATTGAAGAACAAAAAAAAAAGTAAATATTGTGATTTTACGTGGATTGGCATCTGTTTAATATATTGTAACCTGGTTATAAACTCAATTACTCTTGTAAAAATGCCGGTAAATATTTCCTGAAGTCTAAATATGAATTCCGCGTCGCTCAGTTGTATTCACTTGTGTTATGTTTAAATAATTTTGTTGTAACTGCTTGTGCACCCCAACAAATTAGCTGAAAAATCGTGCTTAAGTTATAAAATATTGCATTGCAATTTGTTGAGATGTTGGGATCATGATTACAACAATATTTCAAACTAGCTTTAACCCTTGGCTTCGCTCGCGAATATGTAAAATAATGAAGTTGCTTCCGTACGCGTCTGTAGTCACAGAAGAAGTAACAATGAAGTAGAATGGCGGGAAGTTTAAAGTGGCTGAAAGTATAGTCTATGGAAGTATAGTGTACAGTCTCCATAGTGTAGTCAATTGGATTTGATGTTGACGTAGCTATCGGTAATACAGTGTGATAATACAGTGTGATGGTACTATAGTACTTAGGTTTGAGCTTCATTGCTGGAATGCTAGATGGCGTTAAAGTAGTCAATTAGCCTGATGCAGAGGTATTATTGGCTAAACTATTTCTTTATTTTATTTTAAAAATAATTTTTTTTTATTAAATAAAAAGTAGCCTATAACCATTCGGGGACCACTAAGAATATGTGTACAAATTTTCATGATGATCGGTTAAGTAGTTTTTGCGTGAAAGTGTAACAAACATCAGGACTTACGCATTTATAATATTAGTAGGGATGTTACCATCGATGTCTTGTCTTTGAAAAAATATTCTATCTCATAATTGCTAGAAATTAAAATATCTCTCATAAAATTGCACTTTGTATGCATAATGACTTGACAAATGGACTTGAGTCCAACTTAAACATATACCACTAGGATTTACAATACATATATAAATATAAACCCGGATTGTGTCATAATGATCACAATGTCCACAAAGAGGATATGACCCTCTTAATTGCCATCGATGTTTATGCGATGAGTGCATAAACATTCAACTCGGCTTGACCCGTCTTATGACTAAACGTTTTCCGTTCGTTCATATTTAATATTGATTACTATGAATCTATAACTACTTGCTGCATAGTTAATTTGTCGATATCGACCGACACAGCTAATATGCAAACTTAATACGACTCATGTCTCAACTGCGATGTCTGATGATGAGTATTGACCAGACTAGCCGGACAGACACAGCATTTGCACTTTGAGACCATTCTATGTCGAGATTAATTAAATCTTGCGTCAGATATGTTATAATTTATAATGGGTTGTAAATGGGAAGCAAAAATATTCAAATGTTTATAATATTTACTTTCTTTTTTAGTATTATTGCTAGTTATTAATTAATTATTTAATATTTACTCAAAATATATAATTAAATTAAATTTCACATTCAAATATTACGTTTTGTTGATTGCTAAAATGTTAGGTTAGTAATCACTGGTTTTAAGGTTAGAAAAGTAGACATTTAGTAAGTTTATGTCGTTTTTACACATAACAAACAAATTTCACAGCAGTTTTATCTCTCTGTGAATATTTATTATAACACATTACAAAACAGTTTCACATCCGCATTCCAAATCCAATATTTAAAGCTAACATAACCTCACAATGACTCAAACAAATTTATAGTCTACTAAAAGTTGAAATAAACACTTACCGAGTCAATATTTCATCACATCGGGCAGCAAATCACTCACACTGAAGCAACACTAAACAAATTTCCACAAGAAGCTTATAAATCTATTCAATTTTCAATTTTTAACGGCTCGATTGTTCTGGAAAATCTCAACCGCCACAACGCTGTCAAAATAAACAGCGCAAACTGTCAAACACTTTTCTATGTAACAACATAACCTAAACATTAGGTACCAACTGCAAAAAAATAAAATAACCTTGAAATAACCTCAAAACTCCAAAACTTAAACATTTTCTTAGAAATCTACAAATAAACACATCCTAAAACCGGAATTTCCAAATACTCATCAATCGGAAAAGCTTCTGACGCAAATTCCTATATAAACACTCCACAGAAACAAAAATAACGCACAAATCACTTAGAAAACTAAGATTACAGTCATTTGGTACTAAAAAACGTGGTTGCTGGGAAAATAGTGCGGGATTGTTGAAAATTGGTATTCATATAGATTTCGAGGTGCTCTTTACGAATTTCAACTTTGCCACCTCGTATCTTGTTCGCTCGCGCCACCATCTTGGAAAAATGGTGTCAAAAACAGTCTTTTGACCATATCTCGTTTCCGACTTATTTTACGATAAACATATCTATATAATAAATTAAACTAGAGAAAATTTCCTATAATTTATGTAAGTACCTTTTTCTTGTAAGATTAATAGTTTTAGCGTACGGGCGCCACAAAGTCTACTTCAACATTCGTTTTTGTCAAAAACTCATTTCCAGGTCATCATGACTGCTATTTTTGCTTGCTATGATTTGAGGGTGCTCCTGCTCCCCCTCGCTTGTTTGAAAGTTTTGCCGGCCGAGTTTACTTTTGTTTTATTATTTCTTCATTGAGTCATTATTTGATATTTATTGTTCTGAATAGTCGTGTTGTTTGCAGTTTTGAAGCCATGGTTGATAACGTAAATTGTTTTATTTGTAAAACTCCATTGCAAGATAGTGAATTGATTGAAGTGAAAGAAAAAGGATAGGAGACCTTTTGTAAGTCAAGCATTAAAAGAAAGGATAATAAGGGTAAACTTTTAGAGGGATTGAGATCGGTAGTTGTTCACGAGATATGTCGGAAACGATATAATAATGAGAAACTAATCATTGCGTTTAAAAAAGGAAGTGTTGTCACGACTTTTCAACCACAACTGCGATCCACGTGCCCAACATTCTCATTTAAAGATCATTGTTTTTTGTACGCTGCTGAAATAACAGCAGAATTTATAGCGAAATAAAAACAGACGCATTTGAGTGATCGAAATATTGTGTATAGCGTACATAAATTATCGATGTAAAACACTATTTCTGAACGTCCTAGAGCACGTAATGATGATTGGGGTAGAGCGATTGTTGAATGCCTCGAGCGTGTTCATGATTTGGTCGAAGCCAATGCACAGTATCACAATTCGTGCATGTTATCGGTGAAGATGTAGATCTTCTTATACTTTTAACGGCGCTATCAATTTTGCAACAAATCTATTCAACCAAAAGCATCATCGATCAAACAGCGGCAGATCACATATTATTCTTACACGCTTTTAGTGGCTGTGATACAACATCTGCACTCTTTCATCAAGGAAAATTAAAGTGTATTAATGTACTCCCCAAAAATCCAGATTTACGAGTAAACGAAGTTATCCAGGTATTCAAAACCCAAAGGCTGATACAGAGATCATTGCTACAGCTGGCGAATTCTTCCTTCTTAAATTATACAGTTACAGTAATGTGAAAACTATGCAAAATATGTCTTCAAACATCTATAGATATGCCAGCTTCACAAAATCAGCATACAAAAATAAATTTAATATTGCATCGCTACCACAAATTGAAGCCGCAGTCCGACAACATTCGTTCAGAACTTATCACCAAATAAGTAGTTGTATAGGAATGAACTAAATGCAGAACAATGGGAATGGAAAAGAAACAAGAATGGGCTAATTCCTGTCACCACACTTGAGCCCCCAGCTCCCGAAACATTGTTAAAACTAATCTTGCAAATGCAAAAGGGGATGTCAGAAAGCCTGCGGCCGCAGAAAGACTGGAATGAAGTGCTTCGTTATCTGAACAAATTGCAGTGGTACCTGTGATAATTTGCAAGTCCCATCACAAGATAGCGTTGAAGAGGAAGAAACGATTACCGTTTTTGAGCACACGTACGATGAACTCGAGAACCAAGATAGCATTGAAAACGATAATCCCATCACGGATAGTATGGAAGAAATTTTTACCTGTGATATTTCGATCGGTCCTGAAGACAATTAACGCAGAACACTTGGTCTATCGCGAAGAGAGTATCGAAAGACAATCCATTAAATTTTGGAATAGTGCGTGTGGATTAGGCCTACTGAGGATACCACGATAAAAAACAAACGCGTCACGTACTTTACCTCACGGTGGTGTGGAAATGAGTTTTTGGCAAAAATTATTGTTGAAGTAGATTTTGCGGCGCCCGTACGCTAAAACTATTAATTTTACAAGAAAAAGGTACTTGCATAAATTATAGGAAATTTTCTGTAGTTTAATTTATTATATAGATATATTTATCGTAAAATGAGTCGGAAAGGAGATATGGTCAAAAAACTGTTTTTTGACACCATTTTTCCAAGATGGTGGCTCGAGCGAACAAGATACGAGGTGGCAAAGTTGAAATTCGTAAAGAGCACCTCGAAATCTATATGAATACCAATTTTCAACAATCCCGCACTATTTTCCAAGCAAAACTACCAAATGACTGGGCTATATTAACATAACCTAAACATTAGGTACCAACTGCAAAAAAATAAAATAACCTTGAAATAACCTCAAAACTCCAAAACTTAAACATTTTCTTAGAAATCTACAAATAAACACATCCTAAAACCGGAATTTCCAAATACTCATCAATCGGAAAAGCTTCTGACGCAAATTCCTATATAAACACTCCACAGAAACAAAAATAACGCACAAATCACTTAGAAAACTTAAGATAAATTAACAAGAAATAAAAATCCATAGAAATTTATGTATAACAATTTAATAAATTTCTTTATTCATGTTCAATTGTTGTTTTCTTATAGATAAGACAATAAAACGACTACCACATAATGTAATCGTAATCGTAACCCGCAATAAACAATAAACATAACGAATATGTTTGTGCAATCAAATATTCCAACTTGATATACCTCGTTAATATTACCATGTGTAATAAAACATCAAACACAATATTCGACCACCTAACTTAAGAATATTTCACTAATCAACACATTTCTAATACTTGTAAGAAAGTCACAAAAAAATAAACTATGTACTCAACGCAAAGTCGCAATAATAAAACCATAAAAACTATGCAACAATAAATATGAGTATAATTATAGGTAGTCTGCTATTGGCCTAAACTAATCATTAAAGTTCGTGTGTAATGCAAGATCAATTTTAGAGAGATACTTCGCATGCGCAATTATGTTTAATCGTATAAGATAATTATTTGTCATTTGCTTGAATACATCCATCATTATTTATCTATTCGGCTAGCAAGCTAGTAAGGTTAGGTTGTACGAGCGCTTCTAGTCAATCAAGTTTAATACGCCGGGTATTTAAGTACAATTCGTAGAAATTAATTGACGTTTCAAACACACGCGCTGAATTTGAGGTTATGTTATATTATGCTAGGTTAAACATGGTTTTAGAGTGAAAATATTCATCACTTAGACGCTAGTAGTACAAAAGATATTGAGCTCTTTCGCCTCGTAAGTTCATAAGTATAATTCGTTGTAGTGATCGACTACAATTTGATTGATTTGATTTGTTTGGTTTTGAACATAACTAATGACTATAATCAAACGTTAATTAAAATTAATTTACCCTATCGAAATGTTAAGCGGATCCATTTAAAGCTGCTGGAATCCGGCCGTAGTACCTCCGATGCATCTCGTCGACTTTTGTCAGATAATACGTACCGGGGAAAAGGTGGTCAATGTCACCTTCAGGCTCAAACGGTGCTTTATGTCCGTTCTTCTCGCGCAGACTCAACATGGCGGTGAACTTCTCGGGACTCACACACTTTCTCGCCGCTAACATCGGTTTAATGTGGCTTAACTTACTGACTAGTTTATTCAGCGGGGAGTTTTCACCGGCGTCGGGTGAGACTGTGATCGAAAACATCGTCGAGGCTAATCCAGAACCATATGAGAAGAGAGCGATTTTATTCCCAGCGAGCGCAGCGACATCTTTACTGATCAACAGGCTAACTAATCCGCCATATAAAGATGCCGTGTACATGTTACCAACTTGATTGGCTGCCAATAGTGATGGTTTTGTTTTATTCTCGAATACTTCTTGACTGTTGACCATGAAAGCCTTCTCCACATCACGATCGAAGTATGTTTCTTCTAACTTACTGTCTTTGAACTTTTCCAGCCCAAGATAATCATCAGGTGATCGTTTGAAGTCGTTGAAAGCCAGGCGTCCGACTGATTTCTGCACGAGTTTACAATAAGGCGAGTGGAAGACGATTGCGTCGAACGATGATAAATTAACAGCGTTTTTACCCAGGGATTCAGCTTTCTTGCAGTAGGATTGGTAACAGTTATCCAAAGCACTTAAATAACATTGAATTGATAGTTTACCATCTACGAGGGGATATTCTGATGCCAAATCAGGTTTGTAGAAGTCATATGCATGCTTCATGTATGTGCCTCGCACATGTCTGTCAAAAACTAAAGGAGCATTTGGTGCAATTAGCATTGCGACAGCTCCAGCTCCACCTGTAGGTCTGGCTGAGCCTTGCGCATAGACAGCAATGTCAGCTGCAATCACCAGAGCATATCTGCCATTCCATGCGGAGCTTTCCACCCAGGATATGGCATTGAATAAAGCTGCAGTGCCGCCATAGCATGCATTTGTTGTATCTATGCCTTCTATGTCTGTCACTCCATGCGGTTCGAAGAGTTGCATAAGTACAGATTTAACTGATTTCGATTTATCGACGATTGTCTCCGTGCCGACTTCCAAACGCCCGATTTCGGTGTATTTTATATTGTTGCGTTCCATAAGTCTCTGAACAACTGTCAAACACAAAGAATTGATGTCTTCGCGGTCCGAGCAGAAACCCATTCGGTCCTGGCCCAAACCAATCGTGTATTTACCGGCGGATACTCCATCGTAACTTTCCAACTCCGTTTGATCGACGTACATCGACGGGAAGATTAGTTCCACGGCGACGATGCCCACGTTGTCCGGCCAGGAACCCATTTTGTTTGTGTGGTTGAGATGCGGATTATGTAAGGCTGGGAACCGCACGCGTGGTGGACGATCGGCAGTCCAAGTATGACTAGAAAGTCGGACGAGTTGCTCGCACTGCCAAACCCAACGGATACTCACTGAATGAAACTCGCAGCGTGTAATAATTTCTCTTTTTAGTGTGCCCCGGTCGTGGGGCTTGACGTTACTCCTACTGCGCGCTCCTTCCCACGTCGCACGGTTTTTTATTTACTTTGATTTCGTCTACGTTGGATAGGAGCGTAACCTCATTACGCCCCGTGAGCTTTACTCAACGACTCCGGCGACTTTTATGACTTGTCATCTGAACAAGGGGGGCGCGGACTTGTGGTCGCGAACAACAAGAACAGCAGGATGGTAGGACCAGGCCGTGAACTTAACCTAATTATGTCATTCATTGGCAAATTTGAATTTTCGAGTGCTTTCTATTCATAAAACGCGCAATTTTTAAAGAATTTCGTACCGAACAGGAAATACATCATTTAAAAGTCATGAGTGATTATTGTCTGACAGGTCATTCAAGGTTAACAATTTTACTAGTTTTAAACATAAAAAACTCATTCAAAATAGATAATAACTTATTGAATAGGCTGGTGAATAAATAACGCTTTCATTTTTTACCTAGTGACACCATTTAATGTTGTCTTTTTATCATTATTAGGGTTTAAAATGATATAATTTTTAGTAAACATTGATTTGATATAGGCAACTATTTTTACATGGTGTCGTTCGTTAAAAAAACTTGATTGTTATGACAACAACAAAACAAGCGTTTTATTGATTATTAATTTATAAATAAATTTATCTTTAGCATAATAACTTAATAGTTTAAAGTACATAAGTAGTTATACGTAATAATTCAATTCAATTTGTTTAACTTTACATTAATTCCAAGATAAGTTGTTTGAATATAGGCAACTTTCATTACATCGGGTGTGAAGTAGGTAACAGAGTGTAACGTCAAGCGTAAAGTGCACAAGGTTAGCTTTTTATTCATTTCCATTTTTATTTAAATCTTGATTTACTCCGCCATAAACTACAATAAACAATGCAGAACATAGTAATAGTGCTATTTTAATTTGAAATGCACTTAGTTTCATGCAAAAAACAACTTTTATAACCCTGCAACAGGTAAATGTAAACAAATTCTCAAAAACTAAGTATTTTAGTTGTTATTTTCCTATATTCAAGGCCTATAACGTAAAATATTATCATGGAAGTAAAAACAGAACCAATGGATGAAGTAATAATTAAATATGAACCCTATGAAGAGACAAATCCTGAGTTTGTTGACGTTTCTGAAGACCTTTTATCAGCAAGCATAAAATGTGAAAATGAAGCAGAAGAAGAACAACCTATTCAAGATCCTATTCAAGATAAAGTAAGACCTGTTCATGTGATACCTGTATGTATATAATTTTTACTTTATTTTGATTAATTTTATGTTTTTGAGTGTTTTGATGTTAAAACGCAGTAAATTAATGAACAAGTCATTTATTTCAGTTTATAACTACAAATCAACATCATACCAGCACAATATCTCCAAGTTTTAATCAAAATCCGTCTGATCTCAGCATTTTCTGGGAGCCATTTCAAGAAGACCACCCAAGAAATCAAATTCCAGAGGAACCAGTAACAAATGTCACTCAACACATGAATTTCTATGTAGGTAAACTCCTTCTGCATTCAATATGTGGTGGACACACATCACTCAAACTCCCTGCAGGTTTTAAAATGTATTTTATCAAAGACCTCGCGGAATTTAATCTGTTAATCGCACAAATGACTGTTGAGGATGGTTTACCGGTGATGAAACGTCAAATTCTCATCAATAGCGCATTACAAGTCTCCCTGTTTTTCGGCACGCGTAAAATAACGAATATTTCTTTATGTAAATGGCCAATTAACGGTGTGAAATGTATTCGGTTACTTGTGGAGCGTTTTGCTAAGTTTAAGTGGTGTAGAGGTTTATCTGCAGGCGTACGGATAGAACGCTGGTCTTCACTGATGATGCTGGATAGTTTGCATGATACGCATAAGTTTCGACACTTGCATTGCAAGTCGGTGCATCGTAATGTAGGCGATCAGTGTAGACATTGCAAGTATTTAGAAACAAGAGATAAGAAGATTGCGCTGGTGAAGCGGCAGTGTTATGTGACTTGTTCAATGTTGACCAATTATAAATACTGGCGGGGTATGCAGCAAGGCGTGCGCAGGTTGAAGATGAGGATTAAGAGACTGCAAATGGATAAAAATCGGTTGAAACGGGAATTGCAGCGTGTTCAAAGTAATCGGGTGCTGATTAATGAGGAGAATAATGTACAAAATGATGAAATTAAACTTGAGATTCACTATGATGGAGTTAGGATTTAAATTTATGATTTTTTTCATTATGAAAATGTGTTTTTTCATGACACAAGATAAAATGACTTGTTTGATGATAACTTATTGAATTCAAAACATTTTACTATGAATTGAGAGGCATTTGAGTGTTAAATTGAGCACATGGGTAATGTGGGACGTTGAAACGAGTGCGTTTGTTGTAAAATAACAACAATAAGTGAGAAATATTTAATTGTAAAGTTTAAAAATTGAAATTGATTAATTTTGTTGAGGAAATGTGTTGATTTGGTTGGATGTTTAAGCAATAAAAGGCATAATTAACGAAATAATAAGTAATTAGACCAAAAAATTACTAAATATGCACTAAAACATCTTAATTTGTTATATTTTCAATCAAAAACAATATATTTTGGAGTTGTAGTTGTTGAGGCGTAATCTTGGTTGCATACATTAAATATCCAACATAACTTTTTAATATTTTAAAATCTTAAAGTTTTATTAAAATTAAATTGAACAAAATATATATTATTACAAGTTAAGTATTTAAAAGTTAGTTTATATAAATATCACGTACATTTCCACAACATTTTCTTTGTATTTCTCTCGAAAAATAACAAGTATTGTGGTTTGCCTAACATGAATCATTTATTTAACTTCACTCACGAATAATAGTTGAGTTTATTTAGTAAACTTTGAAGTAAATTTAAATATATACGTGGTGCCGCCTCCGTGAGGTTTTCCTCTGCACACACATCGTCCGCATTGCCCAAACGTGAGTCTCGATTCATAATAATAATTAATATTTTCTTTGTATTGTTGCGACACAATATAACATTCAATAACACGTGCTGGTTCGACGGGCTCAAAATATAACAACCAATAACAATGCGAGTGGACAACTTAAAACAATACCGCATATTCGCTGCTTTCTTTGAATGAATTAATCATTGTTTGTGATTTGTGCAGTTAACACTCCAACATCATCAAGTCTTAAGTCTTATAACCTAAGAATTACACTGCACATAACCTAATCTAACCTCACTTTATTTTTAACGTGGAAAGCAGAAGCAGGAAATCGTAAGTCTATTTATAAAAAGTATTAAAATTGATTTTTATTGGTCTGAATATTCGCCGGCGAAATTCGTCCGCATTGGATTTCGATAAGAATCCGACCGAAATATGCATTAACAATCGCGCATTGTGCGGCGGCGGGCGAAAATCGAAATTTTCCTCTCGGCGTTTTACGATCCATTGTGAGTTATTTGCGAGCATCGAATTGCGCCGACGTTGTGCCTTACTCTCACGTCCGTATTAATCCGACGACAAATTACAAATCGTTTCGCGATCGCCGAGGCGCAATTGCGATTTGGCTCGGTATCGGCGAAACGCAACTTTTGCGGGGCAGAAATATTGTTTGTAATGAACGCGAGTGGAAAACGCATTGTGGTGTGAATTAGTGCGATTCGGTCGGGTATTAATTATGAGTGAAACTTTATTGTTTGCGAATTCTGTCGAGTAATTTAATTTATGGATGCAAATAACGTGAGTTTAATTAAATATTTATTATTGTTTTTTTTTTATAAAATATTACACTGTAAATGTGTAATTGTTGTGTTGTTTTGTAAATAATGTTAGGAGATGTTTAGACGCATCCATCACAACATGAACATTCATCTTTCGGGGCGAATGCCAATCCTTTATCGAAACACACTTTTGAGGGCACGTCGTAGCATTTAATTGTTGCACAATCGGTGGGTTTGCATTTCTTGTCGATGCTTGCAGGCGTTTCAACTAAAAAATGGAAAAATACAAAATTAATTCATTTTATACGCAGTTTAACGATAAAATTTGATAAAATTAGGCAAATTTGTGTGTAATTAATGGCTACTTGTGTAAATTTGGTTGCATACTATCTAAATACTCGGAGATAAAATATTAGTATGATTTCTAAGGAGTTTTAACTAAAAAATATAAAAATCTCTGATTAATTCATTTTTATTTTGGTTTTAATGAAAAAATAGGCAAATTCTTGTACTTCTAATGGCTATTAGTGTAAATTGAGTTGCATACTAGTTATTAATACCTTTTGGAATACATCTATCGCAACAATAGCAATCGCCATCACGAGGCATGAAAACCTCAGTGGATTCATTGCAGTCTTCTTGTTTCTGCTGAGCGCATCGTACTCGCGAGCAAAAATCGCCGCAGTCGGTTTTCTTGACAATTGGCTTGTCTACGAGTACTTCACTGGTTGTAATAACTATATTAACACATAATATAATTACTACGGTAAATATTACTGATGTAACAACAATTTTTGTCATGTTTTTTTTACTCGAGAAAAATCAAAAGTCAAATAAGTGTTTATATGCCGATGTTCTGTATTCAACTGAATGAATAAATGCGGAATATCACGTTATTCACACGGGGATAGAAGGTTAACAACCATAACGGAAGTTTTAATGTGTTACATTAATGATTCATTTATAAATGTGGGATTTTACGTTGTTTTTATGTATTTTGATGGTAAAACACGATTTTTAAAGTTACGAATATAAATCATGGTTAATTGAAAAGAGCAGAGATGGCGCGACGATGTACTTATTCACATTTAATTTTTTGAGACTCACAACATTTATTTACGCATAAACTCAGCAAAAACTAAATTTATTTCTTGTTTTTATTGTGCAGTTGTTTGTTGATGCCCGTAACTCTACGAATAGCAAGTAGATGACGCTAGGATGCAGTTATTTGCATTAAATTCTCACCGGACATTTCACAACACAAGATTTGTGTTTACTTCTAGTCGAGGTGCGCGTATCTTGAGATAACCGAAGATTCGTGCTGTGATTCGTCTTCGTGCGATGTCACGCGATTTCGTGAAACAGATTATATTCGCGTCTTTGTTGCTTTGTTTTGATAGAATCGCGCAGTATTAAAATAAAATGTGCTGCATTCTTAAATTTTATTCTATTATGCACATAGAAATAAATTATAATATTGATATTTAATAGACAAAACACTGAATTAAAATTTATTAAATTTGTCATTTTTTCTCTGACAACAAAATTGTTTGATATTAATTATTATAAATAAAAAAAAAAACGATAAAAGTTCTGAAAGTATCTAAACTTAAAAAAACATTAAAATTAAGAGTAAAATAAGTTGTTTGCATTAAATTTTAAGAGAAGCTTGTTTGTGTCAATGACTTAAGTTAAGTCAAATTAAATATGGCACTCTCGTGTCAGTGGGAGTTCTTAATGCAACGTACAGTGAACGTATTTTATGTTGTGTGAGTTACTGAGTGCATCAGTAAATATAACTCCATATTATGACGCTAGATGTCGTTACGATGCACTTATTTACAACAAAATATGAATCGGACAACTTACTGCACTAGATAGATTTATGTTAACTCGAGTGTTGATTAGTAGCAGCAAGTGCAGATGAAGGTAATTTGACACTCGTGCATAATTTATACATGCAATTCTAATTTATCCTCACTAGTATTTTATTATAAATTTAAATTTTCATATTATTTCCTCTATTTCTATTTTTGATTAACTTCGCACCTGTGACTCGCTTCTTAATTAATGTACTCATATGTATATACCTTTGGGAATACACACGTCGCAACAATAACAATCCCCATCCTCGGCACGAAAACCTGCGTTTTCGAATCGCATTCCTCCCGTTTCTTGGCGACGCAAAACGCACGCGAGCAGATATCCCCGCAATCCGTTTGTTTTATAAATGGCGCCGGTGACGCCTCGGGCGCAACGCCGCCATTAACGACCGTAACGACCGCGAAAACTGCGCAACACATCACCAACACGCGCATACTAGTTGCTTTACTCATTTTCCTCGAGTGTAACGAAAGTACTTTGAAGTAATTAACAAATTAGCACGGTGAACACACAGAACTAGACAATACGACTACGCGCAAAATGATTTCGATTGTGCTTTGTTTGCTGCGGATGTCTGCACCGAACAATGTGATTATTCATACTGAGCATCATGAGCATGCTGATGATGAACGAACCAAACAAAGTTGAATCATTATGACGTCAGTGTGGATTATTACGTAATTTATGAAGAAATAATGTTGAGATTTTTAATTGGGTGGGTGATTAATATTGCATTAGGTAGTAAAAATGGTCGAAGATGTTAATGAGCGGTAAATAACGAGGTGGTTCATTGTTTCAATGTTATAAATTGCCATTGGCATTGTGCGATATGCAAATTCAAGGTAACATGTAACACGAATACGGAACACACGAGAATAGAAGAAGAACATTAAAGAATAATCTGATTCATCGTATTAAATTACTAGTTTTATAAATAACTAGCTTTAACCAGCGGTTTCGCTCGCGAATATCTAAAATAATGAAGTTGCTTCCGTAAGCGTCTGTAGTCACAGAAGAAATAACAATGAAGTAGAATGGCGGGAAGTTTAAAATGGCTGAAAGTATAGTCTCTGGAAGTATAGTGTACAGTCTCCATAGTGTAGTCAATTGGATTTGATGTTGACGTAGCTGTCGGTAATACAGTGTGATAATACAGTGTGATGGTACTCTAGTACTTAGGTTTGAGCTTCATTGTTGGAATGCTAGATGGCGTTAAAGTAGTCAAATAGCCAGATGCAGAGGTATTATTGGCTAAACAATTTCTTTATTTTATTTAAAAAATAATTTTTTTTATTAAATAAAAAGTAGCCTATAACCATTCGAGGACCACTAAGAATATGTGTACAAATTTTCATGATGATCGGTTAAGTAGTTTTTGCGTGAAAGTGTAACAAACATCAAGACTTTCGCATTTATAATGTTGGTAGGGATTCTTTGATTTTTATGTTTATTTAAGTTGTTTAACGGAAGAACAAAAAATAACCAAATATTAGTATTTTACGTGGATTGGCATGTGTTTAATTATTTGTAAACTCGTTATAAACTCAATAATTTTGGTAAAAATTCCGGTAAATATTTCCTGAAGTCTAAATATGAATTCCGCGTCGCTCAGTTGTATTCACTTGTGTTATGTTTAAATGATTTTTTAGTAACTGCTTGTGCACCTCTTCAAATTAGCTGAAAAATCGTGCTTAAGTTATAAAAGTTTGCATTGCAATTTTCCGGGATGTTGAGATCATAACTACAACAATATTTCAAATGTTATCATCGATATTCTAGCTCATTCTATATTCGATATTCTAGCTCATAATTTCTTGAAATGAAAATATTTTTTGTCGTTAAACAAAAAAATTAATATTAACCAACTAATTTTAAAAGTTTAATGTCTGTGATGTGTATTTGTTGTTATTTTTACTTTATTCCGTAAATAAAATTTTATATCCGCTGTGTACGAATAAGCAGCAGGCAGTATTATAAATCAAGTTCAAGTGCTCTGCTGCTGTGGATCACGGCCATTACTTTGGATTTTCCGCTTTTCAAAAAGCGAGTTAAACGCGAACCGTAGATATTCACCGCTTCAAGCCCTTTTAAGCTCTTCTAGCATTCCGACGAGGGTCAAGTTCTGCGTCAGGAGCAAACCTTTATTTTATTCACACATTTCTTTTATATATTTGCAAATTTCAGCAACTATACACTAAATATTTAGGTATATTTAATGATTTTACAATATTATTGGTGTCACACATGTGTCACAACACATACAGATGCCATCTTTGGGAACAAACGCCTTCTTCCGTTTCAAACAATATTTCGGAGTTATTTTTGAATTACATTTTGATGAGGCGCAGCTACAATCACCCAGCTCATTAACTAAAAAAATAAAATTTAAAAAATTAAAGAAAAAATTAAAGAAAAAAATGTTTAAACAAATTACCTTTGCGATAATCAATACAAGTATCACAACAGTAACAATCTCCGTCTGCTCCAATTAATGCTTCGTTAAAACCACACTCATCAATTGTTTTAGAATAACATTTCGTCTTTTTACATAAATCCTTACAATTTGTATTTTTATACACTCTTCCAACAGCTTGCATATTGACAAATTGTATTTCCCCGATGCAAATTACACAAATTGCTACCAATAATAACAAATATGCTCTCATAATTAATAATATAAACTTTTATTTTAAAACAACACAACAAAATGCAAAATAAATTCATGTTGTGATGATTATTTATAGATGCAATGCGGTTGTGGATATTGGGAAACAGGAACAATTAATAACTGGTTTGTGATAAAACCAATAACAATGGAGAATAAAAAAAATATCAAATCGCATTCATTATTGTTGTATTTTATGAACGATGGTTAGCTTCTAGGCTTTGTGCATTTTTTAACAGGAGTAATACACATATCGCAGCATTTACAGATTCTGTCTTTTTTGGCGAATGCTTTTCCGATGTCCAAGCAGTATCTTGGAGTTATTTTTGGGTTGCAATCGACTAGGTTGCAGTCATCGGGATTGCACTCAACATCAGATTTTTCTAAACAAAAAAAATTAAAATTTAGTAAAATCAAGTAAAAGAATACAAAATATGGTTGAAAGAGGGAAAATAAAGGGAGCTGCGACTGGAGTGTTGGACGACTCAGGCTCGACTGAGCGTGGAGCGCACTACCCGCAGAAAGTGGAGGGGGTAACGCATCGCTTATATTCGATTTGTAGCTAAGCGCGCGAAAAAATCGCCGATATAATAAAATAATAGCATACTTAGGACTGAAAACAATATTAATAAATATTAAATACTAGCTGGTGCCCGCGACTTCGTTCCGGCAGTGTTTAATAAAAATGTAATTTGTTTTTACTCTCTTGTTCTAGACATACTCGTAGTAAGAGTCAATTCTATCAATAAGATTAGCAATTTTAATTTAAAGAAATTAATTATATAAAGTTTTGTCAATAATGCACTTCAGCGCGCCATCTCGAATTCAACTATTTAACTATAACTATGATTGAATCTCAATGTCAAATTTTATTCTATAGAAAAGAGCTGTTTTGAGGATTTTCCCGGCAATTATTCGAATTTTTCTCACCTTTTAAACCTTCCCTAGACCTCCACGAATAATTCAAGACCAAGATAAGATAAATCCGTTCAGCCGTTCTCGAGTTTTAGCGAGACCAACAAACAGCAATACATTTTTATGTATATAGATTACGTGCAATTAATTTTTACCTGAATCTATGCACCGATCACAACAATAACAATCGTGATCAGCCCCGATGAGGACTTGATTAGGCTTACAGTCGCCAATAGTCTGCGGGGCACATTTCACAGTATGACAATATGTCCCACATCCTATTTGTTTGATCACCACTGGAATATTTTGAGATTGAACAAATTCCAAACTTAATAACACCAAACCAAAGGTTAATAACATCAACTTATACATGGTATTCATATTTAAAAAATAAAAATGAAATTAAGTAAACTTTAACTAAACTGTTAGTACCGGTTGATGATTTGGAGACTACTAACTGTAAATCCCAACTCAATGCTAATTTGTAATGCTAAAAATGGTTAAAACGTGTTACAAAGCTAAAAATTACATAGATAGTGGGAGTATGTTGTGGTTTGGAAGCAGGTATTCACATGAACATAATATTCAAGGTTATTTAATAGTAAAACAACATTTAAAATACTAATTATGATAAAATTATATTTATTACACCAAAAAGTGACTTGTAAGTCAATATCAAATCAATATTTCTTGGCCGTGTAATAAATAAAGTCAATATTTGCATGTTTGCACGTAAATGGCCGCTTTGTTGCGCAAATCTCCAAAGCGTGGCTCGCGTATGCGGTCGTTGGGACGTGTGATTTATACCGAAATTCAATGCGATGCGACATTTGGCGCAAATGTGCAAGCGACAATTTGCATTCGCAGCCTGCAACACATTTATGCATTCCAACTTTATGGCATGATATTATACCAATAGCTGTAGTGCGCTTTCATCATTCTAACTGCATGCCACAACTTCTAATTACCGCCACACAAGAAGTAAAATTCGATTTTAATGAGCTTACAGAAATAAATTGGGTAATGGATGCGTTAAATTGGAAGCAGCAAATACCTGACACAAAAATTGATGAAATTTGTGATTTAATATTCATTCATTTATGTGTTGTGTTGTGTTGTGTGGAAATGTGCGCGGGGATATGATTGAAATGCGTGATTTTTCACTGCCTTTAGACGCCATTGACGACGGCGTCCTTTTTGTGCATGCTCGCATGATTTATTCGCTTTCATGCGAACACACATCATATATTAATACGACTTATTTATTGATATGGATGTAAACCACGTTTGCATGCGACTAGTTTCCTTTTATATTACCCGGAATAAAAACTCTTTTGCTGGAAATAATTTTTCTGCATTTTTGATTTAGTATTATACGTAGAATACTTAAAAATGTGAAATTAGTTAATTAAATCCCTACTAATATTATAAAGGCATGCAATTAAACGAACTTTATTTTTTCGATTTTTAACTTGTCAATTCATTAAATGCACTTATAATTAATGTTTGCACTTAAAAATACAGAAATGAACTTAAAAATAAATATTTGCACTTTGAAAAATGAATTCCACTTGAATAAAATGCACTTATAAAACTTGCAGTATTAAGTTCGTGCCGTACTCTTAGCCGGCCCCTTCTATCAAGCCCCTCAAATAATACCAAACAAGGTAGCCTACCTAACCACCACCCCCCAACCCCCAACCGACAACCACCACCTCCCCCCAACCCCCAACCACCCCACAAATAATACCAAACAAGGGAGCCAACCTAACCACCACCCCCGACCACCGCAACCCCCCCACAAATAATACCAAACAAGGTAGCCTACCTAACCACCACCCGCAACCCCCCGACTGCCCCACAAATAATACCAAGCAAGGTAGCTTAGCTTACCTTACCACCACCCCCCAACTCCCCACCACCCCTCACCACTACCCCCGACCGCCCCACAAATAATACCAAACAAGGTAGCCTACCTAACCACCACCCCAACCCCCGACCACCCCAACCCCCGACCCCCGACCGCCCCACAAATAATACCAAACAAGGTACCCTACCTAACCACCACAAATTATAAAGTTTCAATTTAAAAAGTTGATTCAAAGCAAATTTAAGCTTAAACCTGAATATATATGTGCATTGTATTAAAATATAAGTTATACAATCTATAGTGCATAATATGAATTTCTTAGTGCAAAGTATGAAAACTTAAGTGCGGCTGTTCAAGTTTGTTAACACATATTCTTAGTGGTCACGCAAAAACTACTTAACGGATCATCATGAAAATTTGTACACCTTAGTGGTCCCCGAATGGTTATAGGCTACTTTTTATTTAATAAAAAAATTATTTTTTAAATAAAATAAAGAAATTGTTTAGCCAATAATACCTCTGCATCTGGCTATTTGACTACTTTAACGCCATCTAGCATTCCAGCAATGAAGCTCAAACCTAAGTACTATAGTACCATCACACTGTATTATCACACTGTATTACCGACAGCTACGTCAACATCAAATCCAATTGACTACACTATGGAGACTGTACACTATACTTCCATAGACTATACTTTCAGCCATTTTAAACTTCCCGCCATTCTACTTCATTGTTACTTCTTCTGTGACTACAGACGCGTACGGAAACAACTTCATTATTTTAGATATTCACGAGCGAAGCCGCGGGTTAAACTATTTTTCACACCCTTCAAGTTATATTTTAGCAACAAAAAATAGTCTATGTTAATCTCTTGGGTCTAAAATATCCCAAAACCAAAATTTATCAAAATTGCTTGAGTGGTTTTTGAGTTACAGCGACACAAACAAACATAAAACAAGTAAAATTTGAATAAATCTAAATTCTACTTGAGTAATTCGCGGTGTTTTGTTTTATTTTGCGGTTGTTTGCATTGTCCATCATCATTTTTATCACGCCCACTGAGCAATGAGCAATTTATTATATCATGTGATATTAATTCGGTCGAGAGGGGAAATATTTATGATGCTGAACATTGCATTGTTATCAAAATATGCAAATTTCTGAAAATTATTGCATTAACAGTCAGATATCGGAACAAAAAAAATATTTTTATGGTATCAATGTTATCAGTATTATGGATTTTTTATTTTTAGAAACAAACTAGAAAATATGAAATCAAACCGAATAAAAAAAATCGCAAAACCAAAATTTTTGACTAAAATAATAAATATTTCAGTTTATATCTCAATTTCTGTAACCACTTTAAATTTTCTAATCAAAAACAAACATTTCTCAAGTACACCTCTTGAAATTAGCATTAAAAAACGTTTAATGTATCATTTCAGATTTGCCTTGCCTCGCACTTCAAAATAATCACCAGGAAATGTCATCGTAATTAAATTCGTCATGGCCGCGCCGATCGGAATGCCACTAATTGGATTCCTCCTAAAAATCGTATTCCTTATCACTTTATTCGGCAGCACACACAGCGTCCCCACCGTCTCAACTGGCTCTCATTCTCTCACGTCCAACCATCACAATCACAATTCCAATCCCGCTACCGCCGCTTTGCAGTCACAATCCGTTCCATTGCTTCCTGACAGCACTTCCAATACATTAGTCATCGCTACCGCATCCACTCACTCAACTCCAACTCCAACTCCATCTCCAACCATCGAACACGATACTATTTCACAAACTCTAAACGCCAACACTCCACCACCCTCCAAACGCATCACGCCCAACCATCTCGACGAGGAAACTTCAACAAAAAGGGTATCAACTACCACTACGCCCAACGCCACTAGAAATAATATTAATACTTCCAAGTGTGATGATCTGGATGATCTAGACGCTGCTTTATTCGGAAAACCGTATGAAGAACAAGTAAAAATTTATTATTGTAAGATTTACGAACATATAGCGCCGAGGATATGGACATGGGTGCTGATCGCTTGTCACGTGGTGGTTTTTGTTGTGGGGTTGTTAGGCAACACACTGGTCTGCGTGGCGGTTTACCGTAACTGCGCCATGCGTACGGTGACGAATTATTTCATTGTTAACTTGGCTGTTGCTGATTTTCTAGTCATTTTGTTTTGTTTGCCGCCTACACTGGTTTGGGATGTGACATCCACGTGGTTTTTCGGGGATGTTATGTGTAAAGTCGTTCTATATCTACAGGTAAGCAATGAAAAAATGTTTTAGTAATTTATTCATAGATGGCGCTACTTGAAAGTGTTTTTATTTAAAGTTCAAGTTGACTTTATTTATTTTTAGTTTTCATTGTCACACAGCCAATATTTTGTGGTTTAAAGATAAAAATATACCGTGATGTGCTTTTTCTTTGCATGTGAATTTATTTTCTGACTCAGTATGTTGTCTTGCACAACATTTCGTGCACAGTGTAAATCACACGGTATTTTTTATAATGTGCTTCTTTATATTCACTTTTTTTGTGTGTTTTTATGCATTAAATAAGTGGGGACGCGCCCATCACGAACGAATTTCAACTCAGTCGAGTTCACACTGCCTTGAAATCAACACAGTGATAAGATAACAATTACAATCGTCGGTTTCTTTTGATAAATTGAATAATATTGTGTTCAGTTGTAATTTAGCCTCAAAATAAACTCAAATTAAACCAAAACTTCTTAAAAACTAATAAAAAGTGCTAAGAACAAGAAAAAAACATGGCGTCTTCACAGCTACTCTTCGAAGATACAACCATCATCACAGATCGAATGAAAGACTTCTGTTTTTATTTCATACGCCGTTTGGAAGCACGTTTTAATTTTTATCTTCTTATCCTGGAAGAAGACTCCAACGGTGCTGATAAAACCTCGACGGCCATGACAGTTTTAGCCAACGGTGCATCCGCAATACCAACTATCGGTAAACCGATCAGCGCGGCAATAACGCAAGGCGAAAAGTATTTCGCGAATAAATCGGACAAAGCCGACGCGTATCGATTGTGTGAGCTGGTTTATCATCATGCGAAGAACCCGGAAGCTTCCAGGAAGATTTATCTCTCAACTGCGTATGAGTTATTCGTTTGTTATGAAAAACAGTTTATTCAAGTGACGTGCAAGGGTGGTGTTACACGCGCAATCGAAAAATTGGCATACGATGCAGCGGAGCGACTTATTTCAGCCATTTTAGGTGCTGATTACAACATAACCTCAATTTTAGACCAGAAAACAATGATTGAGGCTATCGTTGAGAATAGTGGTGGTTTACTACATGATTTAGGATTGATGAAAATTGGTAGGACAGTAAAAATGTCTACAAAATCAAAATCAAAACATAAAACATGGAATAGCAGCGACATCTATACGAAAGTCGGTGTATACCTACCGGATAAAAATTTATTCTACATCAATACCCAGTCCAAAGTTGATTTATACGGTTTTCGACACCGTTTCACCTTTGAAACAGAAGAATATCTTCGAAAAAATTACGATGTGTGTGATTATCATGAACATAACCTTGATTTAACACCTTATACGTTTTCCCCGTATGAATTTCAAAAGCATTATGATGAGATAAATCAGTATTGCGTTGAAAGGCTCAATCCAATAAAAGCTGACCTTCAAGACAAACACGAAGAGTTGGTTAAAGTAATAGAAACTGTTGAAGATCGCGCTCAGGTTGATAGAGATGTCAAACACGAGGAAGCTATGACAAGTAGGATAGAACTGCACAAGGATCTGAAGGCGGATCACGGTGAGCAGAAACAAATGGAAGTGGCTATTCTGCAAAAGTTGGATGATGTCAGTAAGAAACAGGAGGAATACGCGAAGAAAGTTTGCGAGATTCAGGACGAGAAAGTTGTCATTAATAAGAAAAGTGTCGATGAATTCTTTAAGAAGATTGATCCAACGAGGAATCATGAGTTTGTTAAGTTGAAGAAAAAAATTAGGAAGATTAAATTATAGTGGACATAAATATAAACTTTTAGTTGATAGATGGCGTTAGTTGTAAAAGTTTTAAAAGATAAAAACATAATTCGTTTATTTCTTATGTTTTCTTATGAAAATTCATGAATTTATCCAGTTGAAGATAAAAAAAATGGAAAGATTAAATTGTAATGTACTTTTGTACACTTTTTATTAATAGGTGGCGTTAGTAGTAAAACATTTCCAAACACGAAAACAAAACTTCCTTTATTTTTTTACCTTTCATCGAATTTCACGCGTTTAAAAGTGGATTTAATATTATTGCACTGCTGTTATTTGCAGACGGTATCGGTGACCGTCTCGGTGCTCACGCTAACCTTCATTTCGATCGATCGCTGGTACGCGATCTGCTACCCGCTGCGCTTCAAGTCGACGACGCGCCGCGCGCAAACTGCAATTTGCGTCATCTGGCTGGTGTCCTTATGCCTGGGTGAGTCTTTTTTGTGTTCAGTGCTTATTTCTTGCATTTGCCCCTTGTTAGTACCCAGCAGCAAGCAGCAACAGTAGTAGGAGGAAAATAAAAGAAGGTGTAAAGCGCATAAAACTATTTTGCCACATCTGGTATTCAAATTTTACGCGACAAGAAGGTGTGCGGCGGAGGTGGACTGTTTGCACTTTTACGCGCAGGACTACGGCATTGAATTATTCATTTGAATGCACGGGAATGCTCGTAAATTGTGGAAAAGTGGACGGTGCTAATCTTACTGTGTCTTGGAATATTTTCAGAGCAAAAAATAAAGAGAAAAGGAGAAAATGGTTTTTTGACTTTTCTTGGTAGAAAATTAAAAGTTTTTGAAAGTTTTTATGTTTAGGAGATAGAGAATTAATTTTACAATACATGGAATTTGTTTTATTGTGAAATATTTTATAGTTTTGGAGACATTTCAGTTTTAGGAATTTTTTTTTCAAAAAATTTAGTTTTTTAGAAAAATCTTTTAAGAACGACTTTTATATTAAAAAAAATATTTCCTCTGCTATTTCTTATATTTTTTTAGAAAAAAATTAGTTGTAATTAAACAATTTTTGCCATTTCTCAATTTTTTTTTGCAAAAAATTGAATTTTTGTTGTATTTAAGCGAAAAAAACGATTTTAACTTGTATTAATATATTTCCAATTCTATTTATAGACATACCTGAATTGATAGTCAATGAAACGCGAAGTTTCAATCACAAGTTGAACATTGACACCGTATACTTCACCCAATGCGTGGCCACGTGGAGCAGCCAAGTGGAGCGCAACGTGCAGATATCACGCATGCTGCTGCTGTACTTTCTGCCTTTGATGTTAATGAGCATCTTTTATGTGCAAATCATACGTGTGCTCTGGCAATCCGGCACGGTCACGCACAACGGTGAGTCAAACATTGCGAAAGCAATTAACTTTTACAACCGGAACACAATTTCTTTCTCTTGTTTGTTTTGTTTGGCGTGTGTGATTTGTTTCGGTTCGTTTCGTGCAATTTAATCAATTTTAAGTAAAACGACACACAAAAACTAGCGTGAATTGCGTTGAAGAATTGTCGAAAGGCGGAAATCACTTCGAGAAAGCGCAATTGTTTAATCCGGCCAGAGGGAAATCTAGTGAGTAGTGAGTTGTCACGCGCGTGCATTGTCTCGATTTTCCCTAGAGTTGTGAGCTATTGTCAGCTAAAGTGTGCTTTTAGTTTAATTCAGGATCAACAAAATGTCAACAGAATAAAAATAGAGGAATAGGGTTTTATATTTTAATATATTTAGGTTTTTTGCATTGAAATGATTCTTAAAATAGAATTTCTAAGCTAAAATATGCTGTGGAGCAGAGTAAAAGCAAAATTAACATTTTTATTATAAAATTTATTTTTAGGTTAAAAGGAAAGTTAGGTTAAAGAAGCATTTTGTAATTTCTAATTTGCGAATTAATTGAATGATTTAATTGTTTTTATTCTCAATTTTAAATCTTAAACAGGTATTGCTGGACGTCACTTTAATTTCTCAATGGTATCGAATGCAAGCACTAAAGGTCAGCTGCGTTCACGCAAGAAGGCAGCGAAGATGCTTGTTAGCGTCGTTGGTATGTTTGCAATTTGTTATTTCCCCGTTCATCTTTTATCACTAATGAGGTAAATTGATAAAAAGAATCAATAAATTACAGAGGAATTTATGAAATAAATCGTTTATTTATTTTTATAGGTTAATGGTGCGTCTTCACAGTAGTGATTTTAACAATGCTATTGCCATGATTTCACATTGGTTGTGCTATGCCAATAGTGCCCTCAATCCTTTAATTTATAATTTTATGAGCGGTAAGTATAAAAATTCAAAAATATTTAATTTTTAAGTTCCGCACCGTGACTAAAGTACTTTAGTCACGGCTTTGGTCGTCTGTAATTAAATTGCCACTTTTTGTATCTCGAAACATTGCAAAAGTGGCAGTGTAAAGGTGGAAGTAAACAAATAATTATATTATACTGAATGATTTCCTAATAAAAATATAATATTATTTTATGTTTAGAAAAATTCCGAAAAGAATTCAAGCGTACTATTCACTGCACAACAAGCACGAAAGACTCTCGTGTGGAGCTGAACGCAATTTGGAAAACACAATTGCGTAAAGCACTTAGTTCCTCTCTGGGCAGGAGTGATACGAATCGCACCACAGTGACATCAACTACTTAACCCTAACCTAAAAAAACCTAAAAAAAATTACTAACCATTAAAAAATTTAGTATTTAATATAGAATTTATATAAACTGTGCCAGTTAATGTATTAATAGGGTTAAATGTTTATTTTACGAGAAATTACTGTTTGGTTGTTAAACTAATCAAATGTAAAACATAACATAACATAACATATAAATATAAAACGCAGTTTCCGTTTGATTCCCCACGTCACACCTAACTTCACGCTGCATTACACACGTGCGAGTACGATTCGATTCGCCACTATTCGTTTCCGTGTCACATCAAACCAGTATTTGCAGATTATCAAACGCAATCAGAACGCGCGATGAAACCACAGCTATCAATCTGTTTTCAGTTTCATCCAAACGTGTGTGCAAACAAGTAATCCAATATAAATTTAAAATTGACTATTTGAGTGGAAATATTGCGAAATCGATTGTGTAGTGACATTGATTCAAATATCATTAGGGTGAGATTTTTAATTAAAATTTATTTTTATTAAACATTTATTAAAAACAATAAAAAATACTAATAAGTCACACGGGTATTGAATTTTGTAACTATAAATATGACTGAATCAATTAAAAATCTTTCATTACTTAATTTTCACGTTTTCGGTTTAATTTTTTGCAACAAAAAGTATTTTATCTTCTATTTTATTAAATAATCTATAATACTACAAAGTTTTATAAAAATTGGTTCAGCCATTTTTGCGTGAAAGAGTAACAAACATACAAACAAACAAAATATTATTTTTCATTCGAAAGAAGTAGTTTTATAAGATTTGCTTAGTCATATTCTTACCTATATGTAATGCAATTGTTGCATGTCATATTAAATCAGTACATTTCCATTTCCTAGTTATTCCATAATCAAATTTAATCCCGTGAGTATGATATTACTCGTACAATGCGACATTTTTTAAAACTACTATTCCAATATTAAATATAATGTTGGTGAGTGTAAGTGCATAGTTATTTTTTATGCATACTTACATACTGAGATTAATATAGTTATTTACTGCGCGTTTGCGGTGCGAAGCAAACAATTACCAAGAGTGGAATGTTTGTGCGGGCGTCAGACCGCTGAAAAACGCATCGTTAAAAGCATAATTTGACCGTTTTCACGCCGCTTAAATACCGGCCACGCACATTTGATAAAACCGTACCTTCTATAAATTACACGATTTAAGCCCGGTACTAAAAACTTAACTAAACATAACCTCAACTATTAATACCACTACTACTACGTAAATAATGTAGACTACCCAACTTACATATTTGGGTTTTAGAATATACATGTAGCTTAGTATTGTTATCTTGGGTGATTTTAGTTTTCGTTTTTATTTTCGGTAATGCTTTGTGTTTTGATTGTATTACTGCGATGGAAACAGTGAGTTTAACTTGTTTTCTACCACATTAACACAACCTCATATACGCTTTTATTTTATTTCTTCGTGAAATGTAAAAACCGAAAAGCTCTCGCGTTTGGCAAAGGCTGCCGACCGACCGCAGCCCGAGCTGGAAAAACTTTACTGGGTTTTCGCGTCGGTTTGATTTGGTTGAATCCAGGCTAAGGTTTAGATATTTCCCGGAATTGCGGTTTCAGCTGCTTTACTCGCACAAAAGTAAAGCAGATAGGAAATGACTGCACGGTTTAATGCCAAACGACAACTCGTAAGTAAAATGCGCAATAATGTTTAAAAATACTCGAATTTTTAACACAAAATATTGCAAAACCATAAAAATCGTTTTATTTATATAGAACAACAAAACATATCAAAGTATTGAAATTATACGTGGATTGGCATCTGTTTAAACTTTTGTAAGCTGGTTATAAACTCAATTACTCTTGTAAAAATGCCGGTAAACATTTCCTGAAGTCTAAATATGAATTCCGCGTCGCTCAGTTGTATTCCCCTGTGTTATGTTTAAATGATTTTCTAGTAACTGCTTGTGCACCCCAACAAATTAGCTGAAAAATCGTGCTTGAGTTATAAAATTTGAATTGAAATTTTCCGGGATGTTGGGATCATAATTACAACAATATTTCAAATGTTACCATCAATTTCATGTCTTTGAAATAATATTCAATCTCATAATTGCTAAAAATTAAAATATGTTTTGTTTTTACACAGTATATTTTGATTTATAATAACTTTAGATATACAAGCACTTAATTAATGATTATAACCTTGACTTTTCCATACTTGTAAAGCGCGTGTTAATTTTCCTTCTTGCCTAGACGATAATGATGAATATATCGATAATTTATCATCGCGCACAAAAGAAGTTGTGATTGATGAGCGCATTTATGAAAATTCAATTTATTAACTTACGAGTATGAGTACAATTCCCGTTTGAAAGTTTTATTTTTGTAAAATGCAGTATGAGAATGAGCGCAGGTAATGTAATGTCCTTTTCATGCCACTCATAAATGTTTCAGCTTGTTTACCAGGTACGTGACATCGTGGAAAACAGTTTTATGTGTTTTAATAAAATACTTTAATACTCCCATAACTGGTTGTTATTTAAGCTGAACAACGGGTGTGAATGCCTTAGGTATTTAATTCCATGCCGTAAATTTGTATTATGAGATCAAGCTTGGATCCAATAAAGATAAATGAGTGAATTACCTAATGAAGTTCAATTAATAAATAAATTTAGTTACAGTTATAAATTATAAGCAAATATTAGTATTTTATTAATAGAATTTTGGAATTAGTACGTATTTACTTTAATATCATTTAATATCGATATATTCGCAATTGAAACACATCGTCAAAAATTAAAAAATTGCAATTTTGAGCACATTCAGCTGCGTTTTTAGACTTTTTTCCTCAGTGCATTGATTATTTCAATCAGATCATCAGATCGAGAATTTTCCAATCTTTCATAATCAGTAATTCGTTGGTTGCTATCTCTTTTAGTTTAAGAGATATTAATTTTCAAAAATCGTCGATAAAAAGTATCAAGCACCCCCCCTTGGCAATTTTTTCTAAAGAATTAAAATTTTGTCTCTCATATTTCCCTTTTAACTATCCTATTTGATAGAAAGTAGACCGTAGATTAAGACGCTGCGATCAGATCTTATTTATCTCTTTTAGTTTACGAGATATTCGCGATTGAATAAAATGGGCAAAAATTGATAAATGTCACTTTTTAGCACTTTTAGTCGCGTTTTTCGACCTTTTACTGTGCGAAATATAATTATTTTATAATTTTATCTGATAGATAATTTTCCAATCTTTCATAATCAGCAATTCGTGGGTTGCTATCTCTTTTAGTTTAAGAGATATTAATTATCAAAAATCGTCGAAAAAAAGTATCAAGCACCCACCCCCCCCTTGGCAATTGTTTCTTAAGAATTAAAATTTCATCTCTCATATTTCTGTTTTAACTATCCTATTTTATAGAGAATAGTCTATAGATTAAGACGCTGCGATCGGAGCTTAATTATCTCTTTTAGTTTAAGAGATTCACTATCAAAAATCCGACAAAAAATTTCCACATGTTAAAAATTAAACCAAACACTATTTATAATAAAATACATAAAACTGATTGCATTTTCATTCCTTGGATGTTTTGCACCAAACGAGCTTATTTGCGATGTCAATTTGCCGCACGGTTGATTACGATGCGCCGCCATTTCGCGTTCGGTCAAGTAAATAAATGCGAAGCAAGAAATTTTCAACTCGACTCGTTGGCTTCAACTTCTCCAGCGCTCAACGCCCAGCGCTCACTGCATTACTCTGAAAAGATAAACGCGCGCAAAAAACTCCATACTCTGATACGCGCATAAATAATATGTCAGCATGCAGACGCTAAGAAGTATTTTCTGCTTGAGTTCCGGATGAATTCACAAACAAACGAAAAAATAAAAAATAAACAGAAGAAAAAAAAACTTTAAAAATACAAAAATCAAGTCTTAAACTAATAATATTATCAATTTAAAGTTATTATAAAAGTAGAATATAGATAACATGAAAATCTGCAATAAATGCAAATGGAAAGTGTATCAAAACAGCGCAATCACCGTAAGATGCGTGGAAAGTGGAAAACTTTGTTATTCCAGGATTATTGGAATCATTCACGTAGTGCGCACTTATCGACAACAAAATTGCAACTTTTACTTGAAAGAAACAGTTTCCAAGCGTTTCATTTCGATGAACACTGTAAGTACATATGCATTTACTACCTTCAGGTACGTTGGAAAACTGTTATAGTCAACAGGTGTTATGGAAAAACACTGAAATAAAATTTGCTACAATTTAACTAAAACTTTCGCAATAAAAAATTACGAATTGAAGCAACCAATGATAAATTCACTTACAAATTTTTGCTGGCATTCTACGTCTCCATTATTTACTTAAACGAGCCAATTTTTACTACTCAACTTTGACTACGGTCGATTCAAAGCGGTTTCGCTTTTCTTCTAATGCCTCCGCACGCCCCCAGCTGCCTTTCTGCCCTCGACCTTGACGATTCCAATTTTTCACTCTCGCACCACGCCTTCGAATTATCTTGTAAGCCGCAATGTTCGCCGTTGGAATGTGCCCACTTCGTCTTGCTAAGCAAATGAAACCAAAATGAACTCTCACACCACATACACATTGAATGTTTCTATTGCGAAAAAATCTCGAAAAATGTTCAGCTGACGAATAAAAAACGTTAAAAAGAGCGGCATTTAGAGGAGCATTATTCAAATGGTGGCGGAGGTCGGGCAGCGCTAATGTGATGCAGGACTGAGTAGAGAAAAGAAATGGTGGCACTTTGAAGCAAATTCGATTCCATGTCATTATCTTATTCCGTCGGTATTCGTCAATTTTGCACTGGAATGAAATAGAAAAAGGCAGCGAGTATTTTTAGCGACCAGATGTGACTGCAAATGAAGTATCTACTTTGATTTTGAATTATAAAAGAGAAAAATACTTTTTTGGAGCAATATTTTTTCATTCATGAATTTATGAATAAAAAAAGAGCATAAATAGCTTTCATTCATGTATAACAAACTTTTTCACGAGATAATTTTTTTATTGCTTGATTAGAATTACTAGTATTTAAAAATTCAATATTTAAATTTGTGTAAAATTTGAAAAACATTTTTAATATTAGTTAGGGATTGTTAGGCACCTGAAATATTACATAATATAATAATTTAATACGTTTTTTTTACAAAAAGAAGAGACAACCATTTTATTTCATTATCACCATCTATGTAGATTACATTAATTTCTGTTTTTCTTATTTTCTTATTTTATCACTAATTCCAATTTAAATATGATTATAATTAACATTTCATAGAATATATAATATAATTGCTGATTTTTTTAACAAAAATAGGTAATTTACTTAAGTGTTTAATTTATGGTAATTTATAATTGTTTAAAGCTTTTAAAACTAACACTTATTTCTAATATTATCTTCAATCAATTTCTGATTATTCTATTCCATGTGTCTTATGTACCCTGTTGTACGATTAATTTCTTTATAATTTTTTAGATTTTATTTTATATTTAAAAGCGCGTTTCGATAAGAAAACTAGCAATTCTTGAAAATTAATTATTTTTCTTTAATTTTTCCAAAAATTGCATTTTTTCCTTTAAAAATCGCTTTTAAATACAAAAATAATCTGATTTTCACATTTATTCCTAATTTAATTGAACAAAACTCATTCGATATGACTATTATTAATATTATTAATAATATTAATTTATTTTATTTTATTTAATATTTACAAACATAACATAATATATTAATTTTATTTTTATGTACAGTGAGCAGCATTTAGTTTGCTTTTCAGTTTAAATATTACTTGTGTCTAATAAGCATATTGATCCCACTCGAATTAATTTTTCATTTCTTACGCTATGCATTAAACATTCTTGTAATTATTTTAACATTTATAAAGTTTATATTTACTCGTAATTGGGTATAAAGTGTTAAAAATTGATTGTTTTTGTTGTGGGACATAACGTAAAAACCGCGTTTTTACTAATTCAAAAGGTTCGAGCTTCTTTTAGAAACCTTTTCGGTTTTATGCGGAGCAAAGATGACTTCGGGATCTGGGAGGATCTTCAGGGAGCAATCCGGGATTGAAATGCACATATATTTTCACGTACTCACGCGCGAAAGACATGAATTCTGTTTTGAATTTACAACATTTACAACATTCACCACGACTGCCGTTGTTCTGTTTGCTAGGTTTATTTCTTTTTGTTGTGAAATTTATTTCTAGGTTAAGTACCTACCAAAAGCAGACGGAGGAATAAGAAAGGTTTATAAATTTATAAAGGAGAATACTGTGAAGTTTTTTGAAAGAAAACACTGACAGTTTTGCTAATATTACAAAAATAGAAGTTTTAAGTGTGTTTGTTTCGCTTTCACGCATAAACAATTAAACCAATTTTAATAAAATTTGGTATAGAGACAGTTTTGTTGATAGAAAATAACATAGACTACTTTTTCTTCAAAAAATCAATTAATAAAAGCGAAAAACAATTAAAAACTTAATTAATTAACATTTGTTGTTATTTTCTGCAATAATATTAACTTTTTTATAGTTTTAACGTAACTGTCAGTGTTTTCATCACCTATAAATAGATTTTCATCCAATATTACTCCCCAATGCAAATTGTTTGTATTTATCGTGATATTGTAGCTTACATAACTCTGTGTATATCCGAAAGTTTCGTGAGAGTATTATCCGCAGCAATTTTAATTAATTTCGTATTCTCTTTGAATTAAAGTGAACGCCTGTCATAAAATCCGTGTGCGGAGGATTAGTCGTTATTATTTATCGCACGGTTATGCCCCATGGTCGCGCATAATCCTAGTCGAATTTAATTGCTTGCACAAAGCGACTTCACGCTCGCCGAATTGCCAGCATCTTTAATTGTCGGATATCAGCACAAAATGCAAACAATGAAAATACAAATTGTTACAAAAAACCTTTGATTATTAAATTTCAGTTATTTGTGTTGCCTATATAATGAAATATTCGTGAAATATTGTCCTGGGAAACAATACACTCGAGTTAAAATATAAAAGCGACAATTACGATAGAACGCTTGAAATTGCATGCGATGTAGAAATTTAACGCCCTCTGGCACAGCTTTACAGTTACACATATGTGACCAATGTCACTAATGGCTGCGGGATTGCTGGGTTGCCTAAATTATATACTGCATACGAGAACACCGAGTGTGTTTGATAAATATTATAAACAATCACGTTAGATTCACTTAACGATAACGACCACGAAAAGTGATACGGCGAATACTGTTGTAAAGGAATTGTTGTTGATGTTATCGGGTAATCACTGAGCAACACGAAACAAAGCCGGAAGAAAATAGATGTGAAATTATGTTAGCGCTCGGTATTCTATTTTCGGAAGTATGTTAATGGCGGGTTCATATTTCCTGCGTGTCAATAACGACATTAGTGTTACATGACATATTCTGTCACAGCGATGTTATTTGGGTTGCCTACATATAAATATAAATATTCCCATGTTTATATACAATGTAGTTTTAAAAGTTTTCTATTTAGTCATATCGATTGCAATGATTCTCGATTAATTCTTGTTCTCCTACCTCCAACAAAGCGCTGTCAATGTCTTCAGCGTGAACTGCAGAGATAGCGACGTTGTCTCTTTCATCCCCCAGCATAGCGTGGCAGTAGCGCTTAACCGCCGTGGATCATACATCGATTTTGATCACTGTCGTGCTGGTGCCGCGCCGCGCGGCGTTAAACTCGGTGGTGTCGATGTTATTCGTCGAGGGGCGGTCGACAATCCGACGGGTGGATCGCGCCCCCGCCGTTGGCGTCGTCATCGTTTCACGCAGCGTGTTCTTGTAGAAGAAGCTTGTCATTTCGTGTCGGCCTGAAGGGTGGTAGGGTTGTGAGCAACAGTCGATTGCACGTTTGAATTCTTTACGGAATTTACCTGCAAACAAAAATATTTTATTTATAACAAACTAGCTGTTGCCCGCGATTTCGTTCCGGCAGTGTTTAATAAAAGTGTAATTCGTTTTTACTCTCTTGTTCTAGACATACTCGTAGTAAGAGTCAATTCTATCAATAAGATTAGCAATTTTAATTTAAAGAAATTATGCATATAAAGTTTTGTCAATAATGCACTTCAGCGCGCCATCTCGAATTCAACTATTTAACTATAACTATGATTGAATCTCAATGTCAAATTTTATTCTATAGAAAAGAGCTGTTTTGAGGATTTTCCCGGCAATTATTCGAATTTTTCTCACCTTTTATACCTTCCCTAGACCTCCACGAATAATTCAAGACCAAGATAAGATAAATTCGTTCAGCCGTTCTCGAGTTTTAGCGAGACTAACGAACAGCAATTCATTTTTATATATATATAGATGTTTTATTATTAATTTCAGTTATTTGAGTTGCCTATATTGAAAAATTCATAACCAAGTCGTTGAAACGCTTTGTAGCAGCAGCGCACTCTGCTTGATTTAATGGGAAGGTAGATAAAATTCTTTTTTTGTCTAGGATATAAAAGATGCGCGTTTGGTTGCCTACACGTCCAATTTAACAACTATCGCCCGTATTATGCATTGTGCATTGACATCGCATCTGCTCGCTTCGTTTCGCTTTGATGTTCGCATTTCCGGCGCGGCTCTTATCACTAGACGCAAAACGCCTTGAAAGCATTTCAGCTCCATCATCCTTCCGTTCGCCGAGTATTCCTGCAAACAGATTTTCGAGACGCGCTGTGCCTAATGCAGCCCTCAACATCACTACAACCGATAACAGCAGTGATAAATATTTTATTTACTTTTCTTTTGTTAATATTTAATACACCATGTATTCTTTCGTTTGATGATAGCGATACGAGTAAATCAGTGTGTGTTTGACTTTCATGCATGATGCATGCATAATTTGCACTTTGAGCGTCCGCATTATCGGACCGAGTGTAAGTTGGGTTGCCAGCTTGGTTACACATTCTCTAAGTTAGAGTAGCACACAGGACGCAACCCAAAATGTCGCTGGGTGATATATGCGTGCTACTGAGGGTGATATTTAGTAGCTCCAGGGCGAGGAGTGCGCCAGACCGCAGTCGACATTCAAACCGGCCACAACTTGCGACAAACGTCTCCGGATCGTCCTTGCAAATCCAATCTCTTTAACCTCGTCCGCACAAAGCAACCAGTCTTGCGATAAAACTATATTTGGTTACGTTTACGTCTCAAACTTGGTTGAATTTGAATTTGAATTCAAAGAATATTGTTTTTATTTTGTTTTGGGGTACTCTCTGTATAATTTTTGTTTTTTGCGATTAGAAATACCTAAGTAAGATGTGGTATTATCGAAAATAGATCGAAAACGTCCGTTATTCTTTTATTGATGGCAATATGAGAGCAAAACGAAAGTTGGTAATCTTTTAGGAAACATTTGGCGCGAGAGCTTGAGAGCTTTCAATATATTACAGCAGGAAAAAATATAAACGCAAACATGGGAGGTAAATACACAGTGAGGAAGAAAAATACGACAGAAACGACAGAAACAGGATAACATACTCGACGAGATGCAGAGGCATAATCAATTTCAAGCCTTTCATATAGAAAAATATACTTAGTATTCGATAAAACATAAAAAATAATAATTTAAATTCAAATTTGAATGTAATAAAGAAATAGAAATGTAGTTGCATAGTTTGGGTCGAGATGGCGTTAAGGTGCATTTATTTGCATTACATTTCGATAGTTTCGCGCGTTTCGAGCTTATCAGCAAGTTGTTTACGCGTTGAAGAGATTGTGGCCGCATTCCGATTGTTGTTTTGATGAAATCAGTTTACCTGCGAGTTCGGTCGAGTTCACACGTTGTGTTAAAAGTAAATATTGCAATGCAAACTATTTTTGTGTTATACTTATAAAAATTGAAACAATTCTACGATTGTGAAGTTTATTAATATTAAAATATTACAATTACACAATTTTCGGTCGGTATAACATTGTGTAGTGTATAAAACTCCGAAAAATTCAAGAAAAACTTAATTCTTGCTCCTGAAATACATTTTTGTGAATAAATGAGTAGTAATAGTGTAAAATTTGCAAGCGTGATGCAAGGATAAAGAAAAACGCTGTTTGTGATACGTTTTTTTATGTATTTATAAGTGAGTATGCAGCAAGTGCATAGAACCAAGAATATTCGTGTTGGTGTTAGTGTTTGTGTGAGATCACGCTCTCCCTGCACTCCTTTACAAGCAGGTATAAAATGTGAGACTCGATGTTGCTTCGCTGCACGTATTTGCATTAAATTCGGATGGTTTTGAACTGTTTATCAAATAGTTGTTTACGCGGTGTAGATTGTGTCTGCATTTCGTTTGTTATTTTGATAAAACCAGTCTACCTGCGGGTTCGTTCGTGTTCACGCGTTGTGTGAAAACATTACACTTCTGACTATTTCTGTGTTATTCTTATAAAAATACGGCGATACCGGTTGCTCAAATTAATTAAACTATTATAAATTTATATAAAACTTATTTGTGCGGCTAAAAAAACAATATTTTAGTGAATTTAATTACATTAAATAATATTATATAACGCGATTTTTGAAGATAAACTGATTTGCAATCGTGTCGGTGTGAGCTACCGTTACGCTCATCGTTGGTGTCAGTGCGTGAATTTTAAGTGAACACTACCAACTCTCGCGTTCGTGTGCGCGTGTGAGCCAAAGTTGTGTATGCAGCTCTGATAAATAAGACTTTCTATGATGATCCTAGATGTCACAACAATGCACGTATTTGAATCAAATTCGGATTGGACTTCATGCTGCACCAGGTGTTAACCGTGAGTACTTGTTATTTGTTACTAGTAGTGATTGTAGTAATATATAATACTTTGCATATATGGTATAATACGTACTTCCATTAAAAGTAAAAAACAGAAACAAAGGAATGCATTATTCTCGTCCTGTTAATGATGCTGCGGTGTAAAGCAATTATTTTTTACTTTTACATACATATCTTGTGGGTGGTATGCATGTTCATTCACACTTCACAACACAATCAACACTTCAACATATATTTTATTTAATTGTTCTCATTATCAGCGCGCTGACAAAGCACCTGTATTTTTGTATCATTGTCTTAACACAAATGCAAATTTGTCCAAATTTTTACACCTATTAAACATTTAGTTGCGTTTTTGGATCTTTTTCATCCGGAAATTTAATTATTTTATATTTTTATCTGATAGAGAATTTTCCAATCTTTCATCTCTTTTCTTTTCTATATCTTTTAGTTTACGAGATATTCGCGATTGAATAAAATGGCCAAAAATTACAAAATGTCACTTTTTAGTACTTTTAGTGGAATTTTTTGACCTTTTACTATTGGAAATATAATTGTTTTATATTTTTATCTGATAGAGAATCTTCTAATATTTCATAATCAGCAATCCGCTAGTTGCTATCTCTTTTGGTTTAAGTGATATGAATTTTTGAAAATCGTCGATAAAAAGTATCAAGCACCCCCCCTTGGTAATTTTTTTCTTAAGAATTAAAATTTTATCTCTCAGATTTCCGTTTTAACTATCCTCTCTTATAGAAAAAAGGCCGTAGATTAAGACGCTGCGATCGGATCTTAATTATCTCTTTTAGTTTACGAGATTGAATAAAACGGCCAAAAATTTCAAAATGTCACTTTTTGGTACTTTAAGTGGCGTTTTTTGACCTTTTACTATTGGAAATATAATTATTTTATATTTTTATCTGATAGACAATTTTCCAATCTTTCATAATCAGCAATCTGCAATCTGTTCCTTTCTTTCCCATTTAGTTTACGAAATACCCGCAACTAAAAATTCCTGTTGAAAAATGCAGCGCTTATTTTTCCTTATGCTACGCCACTGGCTGTAAGTGTGTCTCAACCGAACAAACTTTGTAACCCGATCTGAAACCTGAAAGTTTGATCGAAAAACAAGTTTTTCTCTCTTATGTCAAACCTCACGTTGCGCAAGCATGAAAAATATGAAAAATTGCAACTTTTTCCAAACTTATAAATATTTTAAGCATATAGACTAAGTAAACGCATCGTTCACAGCGTAACTAAGTAGGTATTAAGTTATGAGCGCAACATATTGAGCGATTGAAATTGAGTGACATTATGGTAATACATAGTGCTGGTAATGGACAAACTCACCGCTCATGAAATTATAGATGACTGGATTAACCGCACTGTTTGCGTAGCACAGCCAATGGGAAATCAGCGCGAACGCACGGTTGAAATCGGAGTTTTTCAAACCCACTGTCAATCTGCAAACGAAATAAAATTTCATATTAAAGTTGCAATAGATATTTATAAATATTAATTAAATCAGTAGGTATGAGTAGGTAGTGAATGTTTACAGAAGTATTAAACTGTGAATGATTTAATGAACCAAAGTAAATATTAAAACATTTATTTTAATTAATCTATATATGTTATATATATATATAAATGAATTGCTGTTCGTTAGTCTCGCTAAAACTCGAGAACGGCTGAACGGATTTATCATATCTTGGTCTTGAATTATTCGTGGAGGTCTAGGGAAGGTTTAAAAGGTGAGAAAAATTCGAATAATTGCCGGGAAAATCCTCAAAACAGCTCTTTTCTATAGAATAAAATTTGACATTGAGATTCAATCATAGTTATAGTTAAATAGTTGAATTCGAGATGGCGCGCTGAAGTGCATTATTGACAAAACTTTATATGCATAATTTCTTTAAATTAAAATTGCTAATCTTATTGATAGAATTGACTCTTACTACGAGTATGTCTAGAACAAGAGAGTAAAAACGAATTACATTTTTATTAAACACTGCCGGAGCGAAGTCGCGGGCAACAGGTAGTATAGAGATAAATATAGTTCATTTAATTTAAAATTAATATTTTTAGTGATAAAATTAGATTAGAGTACTAATTAAATAACTTTTTATGTATGATGTCACATGAAACAACTTAATTTAAATATTCCTGACTCTTGTGTCGACTGGAAATCTAATTTTCTTGTTTATCTTTTAAATTCGGAGTAGAATTGAAACATAACCTCAATTACTCAACTGTCATATGTAAATATTAGGTTTTTGTGACTTTTTAAGGTTAGTTTTGTAATTTTGAATTTTTTTTAACCAAAAATATTAAAATCTTAAACATTATTCTATAAATAAATTTCTGGTCATATTGGAAATGAGTTAGAAATGCAAAATTTCTAATTCAAATAATGTTAGATAAAACTCGCTTCCGCTGTTCCACCCACCTGAGCACAGACAAGAGATGAACCGGAAAATAGCAGAATGCGAACATAAGCACGACGGCGACGAGCATTTTTGCCGCCTTGATGCGCGACCGCAGCTGGATCTCGATGTTGGTGTTCATGGAGAACTGGCTGGGGCGGCCGCTGCCGCCGCTCGCGCCTCCGCCACCGCCGTCGCCTGCAACGAAAACATTAAAATTCACTACGGCGGATGCGTGATGCGTAATACAATATTGGATAAAGGCAGGGCGGAAAATGCACAATGCATGAGTGCACAATATAAACTCAGGAATAAAATTTTACAAACAAAAAATGAGAAAAATAATGAAAAATAGAATTTTTAGGTTAGAAATATGAAAATCACTCAATCATTCATATTTAGACTTCAGGAAATATTTACCGATATATATACAGATGACAATTCACGTAAAATCTCAAATATTTAGTTAAAAATCATTTAAAAGCAAGAATTTTTTATATAAAATTCAAAATTTAACATAAACGATAAGATTGATGATAAAAACCGTTTCAACTTTCCCAAAAAGCCAAGTTAAAGCCCCTCTACCCTCAGTTACAAACTTGAACTCAGCTTCATTCACACGTCCCCCTATCTATCATGTTTATCTTCCGTCGAGACGTTCATTCCCGCTGATCTGACCCTCCGACCCTTATCACACGCTCTTCGGGCGCGTTTAGTAGCTCCCTCACCAGCTTCACAACAAATAAACTGATTAAAAATCTGATTCAATTTACCTGCCGTATAACTAACATTTCCGCTCTTCCATAACACTTTCGTTATCTGATAATACGTCACGGTCATGAACGCCAGCGGCACCACGTAGAGCAGGAACAGTTTCAGCACCGTCCAGAACGTATCCGTGTCCAGCGACCAAGTCGGCCCGCATTGCGTTAGATAAATCGTGTCGATTTTCACGCCGTGATCATGCGACATTGTTGTGTAGACCAACAGTTCAGGAATATCTGTAATCAAAGAATAAAGAAAATATAAAAATTACGCAGTGGTAATAAAATAAATATTCGTTAGATATAAAACGAAGTCGAAGTCGATCGTAAAACGATTTCTTTTTCTCGAAAGACGCTCATGAAAAGTTTCACGCCTCTTTTCCTAAGAGAGTGCTTTTTTCCTCTGCGGGTGTGGTGAAGTCGTATATTTTTATTAGGTATAATGGGTGGCCGACTATCGGCGTGCGTGCGTTTTGGGTTGCCTACCCTTTTGTCGGAATAGCCGATTATTTATGCACGTAAAATGTTCGCAAATTAACGACTATGTTTTACGACTTTCCAAGCAGGAGTTTTATATTTTCACTGCAGGTGCAGACAAATTTCCCGGGGTGCTTAATCATGGATAGGGGTGAGAAGCCAAGCGGACGTTAAATTAGCCCCGGTTCTAATGAGAAATATAAAACGCATAGCGTTTTTTATGCTTCAACAAGTTGGAGTTTAATTTAATTAAAAATTTTCTTTTGTTAATTTTTGATTAATTTCGGAGATTTCTAGCCGAAATGCTTGGAATTTGAATAATTTGAATTATTATGGTGGAATTTCGGATGGTGTGTCAACAGAAGGTGTTGATGTTGACACTGACGCCGTCGCTGTGAAACGATTTCTTGTAATTTGTAATTAACACCCGCAATATGGACTATTTTTAATTAGCGCGTCGCTTGCGGTTTGTTAGGGGTTGACAGGCGACAAAGGAGAGCGTACGGAACTGAAAGTATCGGGGAGACTTAATTAAAAAACATAATTAGCGATCGATACGATTGTGAAAGTTGATTGAAAACTTAATTATGAAACTTCAGTTTCAGTGGATGTGTAGATATTAATATTACAATAAAATGCATTTTTCATATTGATGTAAGTCATTTGGGATTAAAATTAATTCAAATTCAAGTTGATAATATCAGTCAATAACAATTGACATGTTTAGCTGTATGCTAATCCCAATTTATTTGTGGTCTATTCAAATCCAATACAATCGAATCATTTTGTATTTGAATTTGAATTTAGGATGTGGATTTAGGATTATTGTGTATAAATTCTGATTTAATACAAATCTATAATGACTTAACTTAAAATTACTAAAATTGTATAAACGGGAAGTCAGAAAATGACAAAAACATTTTTCACTTTTTTACAATTTTGAGACACGAAAAGTGGTAATTTAATCACGCACGGTCAAAAACGTGAATAAAGTACTTTAGTCACGGGTTACAGCTTGGGCCTGCGCATTTGTCAACGCTGCACTACAAAACCATATTTGTCAGTTGAGAATGTTGAAAAATAACGTAAAATCACAAATTGCAAAACGTGGTTAAAGTGCCACTTAGCGCACTTGATACTTAATATACAATTATTCCAATTAAACCAAATATTTTTGCAAAAATATCAAATTTTACAACAAAACTTGTGTTTTATTGAAATAAATTTCGATTCTCTGTATAAAAATTTCTCCAAATCGCAAAAGTCCAAACCATTCGAGTTTCGGACACATCGAAGATGTTAAAATCGCAGCCGACGTCCGAACGCCATTCGGCGGGCGTGAAATCCTCTCGGATGCTGACTGTAATCCAACGAGTCGGCTTTTAGCCCTCCCAACTCGCCCAACTCTATGTTTTTCCTGTTTGTGCGAACGCACTCAAAAAGTGCGGGCGGCGTTTTTTTCTCTTCTCCACCGACTGGAATGTGAATAATACGTGGTGCGGCCACAACGTCGGGGCACCTGAATGCCAATAGCGAGAAAAAATCGTGTAAATCTCATTTGGTTTCTGGGTGCGCACGTTTCGCAACTTCGAGACGCATTAACATCAAGCCAGAACCGAAAACAACATAAAAGCCACAACAAAAACTAAAGAAATTTATTCTTTGTGTGCTTCAAAGAAAGCAGCGAAGAAAATTGGTAATATTGATATAAATTTGTCGGCTTTATTCGATTCTTAGCTCAATTTACATTCAGGTAAGCTCGACTCGAAATCCCTCGCTAAGCCCAGCGAGCAATTAATGAAAGACGGATTTTAATTTAACTTTGGATGTTCGCGATTCTTTCGCTGCGCGTTCGCCTTCGTTCACTGATCAACCAAAGTGAAACTTTTCCCTTTCAACTTCCACGCACACATTTCCTCGACGTCATCATCGTTCTATTAATAGTCTCTTGGTTACATCTTCAAAACTTGCCTCCGAAAAATAATTGAAAGAAAATCTTTTATTAGAAATCCGATATTATTAATCATTATATATTGATGAGTGTTTCACGTAGGCAGCCCGGAACATTATTAAAATGTAAATGAAGTTTGGGTTGCCTACGTTTGACAGGAAGTTCACAAAACGCCCGAAGATAAATGCGCTTGTAGGTAAACTCATTTGGGATTTGGGATTAGGATTGTTTGGTTTTGTTCGCCGAAAGCATAACTTACCGAATGTCAACGCGATCATCCAGATAATGCCGATGGCCGTTTTCGCTCGGCCCGTCGTCGACTTGAACTTGAGCGGGAAACAGATGGCGTACCATCGATCAACAGAGATAAAAGTCAGCGTCAGGACCGAGACTGTCACCGACACCGTCTGAAAAACACACAAATATTAAAATTCAATCAAAATTACTAACTTTACAAAAGTTTTCTTTTTTTGCATATTTTTACTTTTACGTAGTTTTGTTTAACTTTACACTTAACATCATTTATCTTACTTTATTTCTTTTGTATTTTTATTTTATTACCGTGGCACTCCTTAGTGTTTCTATTTCTTTACTGTTTGATTTATTAATCCGGGCCGTATAATTTATACGACAACAAATAAAAAAACTTCACGTAGTCAATTCGCATAGCTTCGCGTAGTTAAAATTAAAAGACTTTTAAAAGCTCTTTTTTTATTTTTCTTTCATTCTATTGATTTTCCAGTTAGCTGGTGACTTTTAGTGCAACATAAAACATTTATCCTCGAATGTGAATTATTGTTTTTGCTTCTGTTCTTTTTCCCACCCTGCGCGACGCTAATAATTTCGCAAAACTGTCAGCCTTGATATTCTCTTTTTTTGTGTTACAAAAACGCTTTCCGGAAATTGTCGATAGAAGCACGCAAAAACGCGCATTCATTTTTGGGGACACAATACATTTTTATCACAGCGCTTTTTAATCGGGTTTTCATGCAAATTCCTGAAGTTTTTTTTACGAGTGGCGCAAAATGGGTTAACATGTAAATATTTACGTTGAAATATTCTAGAGATTTTGTCCTTAAATTTCTCCTCCTCCTCCAATCCCCGAAAAATCAATCAATAATAATTTACATATAAATTACTCTAAGCATACATATAGGCAACTCAAATAACAAGTTGGCTATATTTAGGCGCAGGGCTATTAAATATTGCATATACTTATTAAGTTTTGTTGAGGTTTTTTGCTGCATGCTGTGAATCTTGGCAGATGTTATAAGTCTAAGCCATACGGAAGCGGTTGATTAAGCCCGGCGGCCTTTTTACGCCCGTCGTTTTTATTTCGGTTAATTTATCTCCGAGGGCTGCACGGGAATCCTATCCGAGCGCAAAAAATTAAATAAAATACAAGAAAAACGAAGTGGCAAGAGATATTTATTAACATCACTTAGAAACGCGTAAAAATGATTAATTTCTACAAATTTGCTAGATTTTTATTGTTTAAGGTAAACACTTTGTATATTTATATATAAACAGTGTTTGGGGTTGGTTGCCGATAATGAAAACATCACGTCGCGCTCATTAGCGCCGAAACTCGAGGAAACTAATCCGGGAATAAACACGAGTGACACAATAATAAACTATTTTTTCTAAAATTAAAAATTTACTTTGAAAACGTAAAAAATATTAAATATTTTCTTAATTAAAATTAAATTTATATTTAAAAATATATTTTGTATATTTTTATACGTTTTTTGTGGAAATTTGAATATTTTTGGAAACACCCTGTATGTAATTTGGTTTGATGAGAAATCGAGAAACAGTAAGGCACCCAAGGATGAAATTCCTTCCAATTATCTGCAATATGAGCCGTAGCAAACTCGGGTTTCAATTTTCCGCCGATATCCGCTCGGTTTTCCAAGCGAACGGCGGTTCTGAATGTCCGCGTGTATCGCCGCCGTCCGGTATAAGCAGTAATCGCCCAAACGTGTGTTTCCGCGTTTGTCGAGACTCTTCGCAATCAAATTGCCAGCGATTGTGTGTTTGAATTTCGCAAACACGGTAAAACTCATGAATATCAAGCGTAAAGATTCAATAAAATCGAAGAGGAATTAGGAGTTTCCCGGAAAAAGTCCGAATATAGTGGATTAAAATGCAATCAAGCATCGACAAGTAACATTTTTATTCGAATTACTGAAATTAAAACAGGGAAAACAGTTCGTGGAAAACAATTAGGAATTTTACAATTTTTTTGAAAAAATTCCGAAAATTTGTAAAAAAAATTATTCCAGAAGGAAAAAGTGACATTTATATTGCAGTTACTCAAAGTAAAAGAAGGAAAATTGTTGTTTTGTGTTCTTTTAGTCGTTTTTCAATTTTTTTATACAAAATTTCCAATTTTTTTGCAAAATTTAAAAAAAAAAAATTTTTTTTCTTAAAATCTCATTAAAAATTAATTTTCACAAAATAACACAACCCTTTTCTTTGTATTACCTTTATATAAATTTAAATTAAAACAAATTTACATAAATTATGCCAATTTGTTGCAAAATGATGAAAAATTAATCCAGCATGAAAATGTTACCAACTTTTGCTTGACATAATCAACCAATACAGATATTGACATTCCTCTCAATGACACACGTGTAAACACAGAATGTAATTAAAGCTCCAGCAGCGCAACGCTACACAAGCTTTTCTCAAATTCCTCTCTCTGGTGCAGAAAAGCAACAAATTTAAGTAAAGCAATAACGCCCCGATCGCAACCAAAATAATCTCAAAAAACATTTGCATTCCGCGCAACTTCACCAACTAAGTACGCGTACCACTAGTTCTCGAGTAAATTAATGAAGGGCAATTTCAATCCGAGTCAATATTTATCTAGGACTACACGATAAGGTTATGCAAGTACGACTGAATTGCTGGAAACAACCGAAGCAAGATTTATTCGTAGATATTTATTTAGGCGATTGCGATTGACATTGATAGAGCATAATCTTCATTTCTCCGCGAATCGATGGAATCATAAAGTAGGTAATTTTTTTGTGTCTTGTATTCTTCTATTTTTATTTATTTTTGTTTCCGTTTCGATGCGCTTGGAAAGATTGAGTATCAAAATCGTATTATTTTCATATTTATTTGATTTACATATTTTCCGCTGCCTTTTTTCGAAAAATAAAATTGTGTTTCTATTTTCTGATTGAGAGACTGTTTGGAACACGATCCGGGAACACTTGAACACGGTTTATCGAAGCATTTCGATACGCTTTTCCGGTTTTGCGTCATTCAGGCAACCCAACATACAACAGAAACACGGAAATGTAAAAATACAAGCAGGTCTTATGCTTATTATGTTTATTATGTGTATTATACTTATTATATATGTTTTCGTGTAGTAATACGCGGATACAGATGCAATTCCGGTTGTGTTTGTATTTTTGCACGGTGCACTCAACGCGTCACTCAACGTCGCTTCCATTCCTCGTACCTATTACTCCGATGTGTATCACTAGAGTTTTTTATTTTTTAGTTTTATTTTGTGTAAAGTGTAAAAAGCTTTTTAGTTTAGTAAAATACACGTGTAAAAATATAACTAAGCAAAATACTTCACGCGATACACGTATATTGCATAATGGGTTGCCTATAGTAAAAGTCAATGTTATGTAAATGAAAAACACAATAACAGCTCAGCAAGCTGTAAAATACAACTTTACTTTACAACTTAAATAGTAATATAATTCTACTTAATTCTCCTCTGAAACAACACGAGATTTATTACAACTTGTTTACTTCCGGCTGCGCATTATGTCCTAAAGCGTTTTATACTTTATCTCGCGCATTAAAACCTAAATGAATTTTCTTAAAACCGTTGATGGTTTTCTTAAGCGCACAAACTCCACGCCTTAATAAATGAGTTTATAGTAGTTGTAAGCTGACTTAATTACATTTTTCGTCATTAATCATAAACTATTTAAATAAAGTTTAAAATAATTCACGAAAAGATTTATTTTCTCCTTTATAATAATCTTCATCGTGTAGGGGTGTAGTTTAGACAAAAGTTTGTGTTGTTTACCATAGCATCTCCTGCGACTCAGAGTTTAGGATCTGAGGATAATTGTCACTGCACACACGTACGCGTATAATTTGCACAAGCAAAGTGTGTTCCAACATCGTAAATTCTGACTCCCTGGAGTTAATTTAGTTAATCATCAGTTGCAAACAGATTAATCTCTTCTAAACACTTTGGAACAAAGTTAAACAATTTTACGCCTACGATCCATTCATATTTTATGTTGTTTTTGTGTATTTGGTTGCCTATAGTCACGCGAATGATAAATTACACAAATCAATGATTAAGTGTTTTTAATTAACTTCAAGCAGAGATAATGAAGCTGTTCATGATCTGGCCGAGCCACAGCAATTAGAAAATTACGAAGCCAGAAAACACGCCGAGAAAAATCTAATTAATGAAAATGCTTTTTCTCACTCCGCATTTTCTTTTCGCTGGATTTCGATGCAACTCACGTTTCAAGACGCTTTTTTTTAGTACCTACAAACGCTGTTCTTGTCATTTCTCTTCGTTTGTCGAGTAATTAGCAACGCTAAACATAACCTAAAAAACCTGGAAGAGTTTTACTGCTGGTATCAAATGGCAATTAAAATGAGTGTTTTATTGCAACATTTTTGTTTATGTTAAATCAAGTTCGTAATTGCTTCGCAAGTTTGTTTATCTTCTCATTAACAATTTGCGAGTGTCACCGGCACGCTATCAGCGGGGGCGATATGCACTGGTCGCACCGGATTGAATCATATACATCAAAACTTTGTTAATAACCGCCTAACCTCAACCGCAAGCTATTATAACTATACAAGGTTTCCTCCTACGTATATGTCATGCAACAGATGTAAAACTATGTAAGTTTTATTTGTAAGTTTGGTTGCCTAACGTGAATATTTTGATATGTGTGGAAATGGATGAAAGTTAAGTGCGAAGATGGAAAGCCAGCGCGATGATAATTAATCTTGGTGTCTTTGCGAAAACGAGCTCATATTTCATACGGCCTATTATTTGCGCGATGCGTGCACATCAAAGCGAAAGATTGACGCGCACGATAATTGAATGCGCAGAGAATGTTCAATTAAAACAGCAGCGCAAAACTTTCCCCCTTGCACGTTCATACAAGCTTTTCTACTTTACGACTTTTCGTCGGAATCACACATAACCTCACTTGACGTCTATGTCAATGTCTATGTGAAGGATTTTTCCTGTGTACTTTTGAGGTTAAATTTAGATTATGCGATCGCTGGAAATTGCCCACACGTAGAAATGAAGAGTTAAGGGCCAATTTAAAGTTTCTCCTCGCGTAGGCAAGAGGACATGCGGTGCGTGCGTCTTGCGACCGGCCGGTCATGA